GGATCTGGGAGCGGCAGCAGCAGCAGCGGCGGCAGCGGTGTCCGGCGGGGCGCGGAGCGAGTGGGCCGCCTGGGGACGCGTGTGCGACGGCGGTTCTGGCGAGGTGAGGTCGAGATAGATGCGCTGCCCCTTCATCAAGGCCAGCTGTAGCAGAAAGAGTCTGCTCGACGAGGCCGACAGAACCAAGAACCACACAGCATCCGGAAACGACCGTCGGTATCGCGAGCGGGCGACCGTGTCTGCAGTGTCACCGGTGTTTGCGTTGAGGTGCAAGAGGGGTTGGACGAGGTCGAAAGGGCGGCGGGGCGGCGCGTCGCACGGTCAAACTGCCGGGGCTGCGAAGGACAGCGGAGAGGGAAAGCAAAAGGGAGGGGGGGGAAAGGTGGGGGGAGATGGTGGAAGGGAAGACAGATGCACCCCTGCCCCATTTGCAGAGGGAGGCCAACAGGGGAAGAGGGTGCAGGGGCCATCACCTGGACCTCATTCCACACCGCTGCGCCATCGCAGGATCAAGCTCAGGCTTAGTCAGCACAAGATCCACACGTACTCTCCCCTGTCCAAAGTAGTCTCAGTGCCCTGCTGACCTGGCATGGGTGTGTCAGCATGCCTGCTGGTGAGCAGAGCAGGGAAGCAAACCTTGAGCTTGTCACACCAGTTTTCCCTCAGCTTATCCTGGGCAGGCCATGTCTGTGCTGGTCTCATGGCCAACCCTGCAAGGATGGGTCTGTCAGGGGCCAAACACGACCTTACCCCTGGTGCCAAAGTGGCAGAGAGCCTTGCGCTGCTCTGCCTTCCTGAAGTGAGGTCCATGACTCACAGTCTGCTCCTCACTCTTAGAGGGTGTCATACTGCACAAATGAAGCAGCCAGATAGCCTTGCACCTTCCTCTCCAGCAGCAGAGGGGATGCTGATCACCACCACAGTAGCAGGAGGGGATGTGGCGGCACTGCCGATTGCTCATGATACCACCATGAGCCTGCTCTTGTGAGCCATACATCGAGGCTGCAAGGCTCAAGCGCCAACAAAGAGGCCAAGGCATGCTCTGCACCACCGAGAGACATTGGAAAGGCAAAATCCTCTGCCCAGATGGACCCGAGAAGGAGCGTTGTACAGGCCGTGGCGCAGCGCAGAGCATCCCCTCTCACGCTTGCTTCAGCGTCGAGGAATGTCGACCGACGGGCCTTTGATTGAGCAGAGCTGTGCTGAGATGGAAGCATGGGACTCTCGATTCTTGGTTCTCAAAGATGGGGCACACCAGCAGACCGGCCTCGCACGAGCAACGAGCAAGAGCTGTGATACAAGACGAGAGGTTGTCGAATGACGGCCTCGAGATGGGCGGCGTTGTTGCAAGGCTCTCGACGGGCCGCCTGGCGTGCCAGGCGAGGGCCGTGGGCCCTGTCACAGGCGCCCGTCGATCCGGGCCGGCGACCCCAGCGGCCGGCCTCTTCTTGGAATTTTCGGATCCGAAATCAGGTGGACCTGAGGACCTCGCGCGAACAGCACACGTCGCGACGGCGCCTCGCCAGCGGAGCAGATCCTAAGCTCGTCATGGTTATGGCTTTCGGAATCAAGGGCGATGATAGGTGTCTGCACGGGGACAGCCGTATGCGCCAAACACCGACTTTGGTTGCTTCTGCCGCTCGCGATACACGGGGCCATGTCTGCGCTCACCGCCGAGCGCTCTCAACGCTGCTGCCGCCTCCGTGGCCCTCCCCCGTCGTCCGCTCGCTTCCTCCGATTGCTCACCGCGCGCCGCTTTCTCTTGCTGCGCCAGACTATGGCCGCGCCGGCTAGCTGTCGGCGAGACCGCCGCGGTACGCGCTCTGCATGGCTAGCCTCCGCACCTGCTCGAGGCTGATGGCGCCCTGCCTGTAGGCCAGCTTCTGCCCATCCTCTCCCTCGACCTGGATCACGCCGTCCGCATCGACGGCCACGGGCAGCGTCTTGGAGTCCTTTGCAGGTGCACCCTCGTCGTCTTCGTCGTCGTCGTCCATGGCGGCATCCCTGCCGCGGTAGCTGAAGCCCTCCGGACCCTTGTACCCGAACCCGGCCCCGCCGAACCGGGGCGACGTGCCCCCAAACGTCGGCGACGACTGCGAAGGCGGTGACCCGGACGCCTGCACCGACATTCCCGGCGACGCCGAAAAGGCGCTAAAGTCGGAAATGACACGCCGCGAGCCAGACGTGCCCGAGCGGGGAGGCGAGCTCGCAGACAGGGCCGAACTCGACGACGAGGCTGCTGGCGCGCTGGGAGGGTGCGGGAAGGGTGTGTAGGGCTTGTATGACGACGCGGCCCGGCGCGTCTGGAGGTACTTGTCGCTCAGCCGAGAGCCAGAGACCTGTCCGGGTTGGCAGAGAAAAAGGAGAAGAAGACGAAGATGTCAGGTTCCGATTCGTCGAGGCGCCCCTTCACAGAGAAACACGACACGCCTACTCACCTTGAGGATGTGTGGCCTCGCGCTGGCCAGGTCCGCTGCGGAGCTCCAGATCTGGACGTTGTGCCGCGACTCTGCAGGGGCAACGCAAGAGGGGACAGGAGAATCAGCATCTCGGCAGAGTGATGCCGATGTCACCCGCCTACCGCTGTCAGCTCACCTTCCGAGTCCCGGTAGATGCTCTCGATGTGAAGCTGCTTGGTGTTTTCGTTGCGGAGCAGCAGACGCTCGTGGAGCTCGCGCGCGACGTCGTCCATCGGGTTGCTCTGCCCGCCCTCGAGGCTGAGGCTGCGCAGCCGCTCGGCGACGGCGTCGCCAATCTCGCGGTGCAGTCGGTCCAGGTCCATGGCCTCGCCCGCCAGGCCGAGGATGACGTGGCTGAGCAGGCTCGCCGTCGTCAGGGGCACGAGCATGGCGCCCGTGATGCGGACGAGGCCCTGGTAGAAGTCGGTGGCGTTCATGTAGCCGGAGAGCGCCGGCTCGCAGGCAATCATGAAGAGCGGGATGCCGGCCTTGGCGAACCGCCTGGCCAGACGCAGCGGGTCCTCGCCGTCGGGAGAGCCGTCCGAGAAGCCGTCGCCGTACTCGCCGATGCCGTGAGGTGGTGCGTCGGCAATGAGGACGGCCAGCTTGGTCGCATTGGGCCGCCAGTCGAGGTCGAGGGCAGCCTTCATGGCCGCCGTCACGGCCTCGGGCCCATCTCCACCGCCGGACGCAAAGAGGCTCTTGAGGTTCTCCTTGACCTTGTCGACCTCGGTATGGAAGCCAAAGTTCTTGACAATGTAGGTGTGGTCCTGTGGTGGATGGTCGCGGTAGGCGATCAGACCGATGCGCAGCGCGCCGGGCCCAGAGAGCTGCTCCGAGTGGATGATCTGTGGGGCGGGTCGAGAGGTAAACCGGGGCATCAAGGGCGGCTTGCTTGTCAGCACCAGAACGATACAGCCGAGGCCGCTGCACCTAGCCTAGCCTTGCACCCGTCGCGGCACCGCCTGGGGCACTCACATTCTCGCAGATAGTCTCGATGTTTTTGGTGGCCGAGTTGATGTAGCTGCCCATGGATCCGGTGGCGTCGAGCAGGAAGGTGAGGTCCATGGTCCTGCCCGGTTCGCTCCAGTCGAAAGCGGTGCTACCGGCTGCATTGCCCGTGGCGCCTGCGGCGCCGCCCTGGTCGCTCTGGAGGTGCTGGGCGGCCGCGCCAAACATGCCAAACACTCCGCCGCCTGCCATGGTGCAAGCTTGCCGGCGGGTGCGAGAGAAAGAGGGAGGGTATGCCTGTGCCGCTTGGGTCGAGGTGCTGCGTCGAGTATGTGTGTGTGTGTGTGTGTGTGTGTATACGAGGGAGCGGAGCCCGCTGGCGAGGTCAGGAGGCTCGGGGCGTGGCGCGGCGAGGCAGAGTCAAACCTGGTTTGATTTGAGGCTGGCTGGCTGGCTGGCTGGCGTCGCTCGGAGGGATAGCAGGTACTTCCGCGTTGCGTGCGGGCAGCGGTGCGATGAGAGAAGCGGAGCTGGCCCTTTGAATCGCTTCGAGCTAGGACGTCGTCGGTGGTCGCGGACCTTTTCCCGCCGGCTGGCGTGCGATCGTACCCGGTGCTGCCGCGCGCGGGTCGTGACTGGATCAGAGTCGCAGCAGCGATCGTTGCCCAAGCCAAAGGACGGTATCTGGACGGCTGGCAGCAGGGTGGACGTCGAAGCGGGCGTGAGTGTCTTCCGACGGGCTCGATGATGGGCGAGAAGGTGGTCGGTGTGCTCGACCAGAGAGAGGATGAGGGAGCGGGGCACCTCTGAAAGGGGTCGAGGCCAGGGCCAGGCCAGGCCAACCCAGCCAAGCAGGCTCGTGCGGCGGCGGCCCGGGCTAGGGTGACGCATGCAACCCAAGCGCAGGCCAGCCAGCCAGCACCGACCAGCTGAGAGGCTAGGCTGGGCTGCCCCACCCTGATCCCCTCCCTGCTTGGGCCTGGCCCCTCGTCGTTTTTTTCGGACGTCACACCAACCCACGCCGCTGCCATCACCTAGCCCAGGCCGGCCCGCTCCGAGACGCCGTCTGGGCAGTGCCCTCGTCGCTGTTATTTGTCGCCTGCCTGCCTGCCTGCCTGCCTGCTATCCTGTCCTGTCCTGTCGAGGTGGACCGACCCAGCCAGCCAGCCAGCCCGCCTGGCTCCCCCACATTTGATTTTCGTCACACGCGCATCGAGCACCGGGCACCTGCGAGGCCGCTCGCTAACCTCCACCTCACAAAGTCGCATTCGCCAGCCGCCTGGAAGGTCGCAGCGAAAAGGCGAAAAAATTACGACAGAAATCCGTGGCCGTCGAAGCTCGTGGCTGCCTCGAGACCGTCACACGGCGTACGTCCGCCTTGCGCAGCGCACAGGCTCAGCATTCGACAATGATGCGACCACATCTCGATCCGACATTGCGATGGGAGAGACAGAGAAAGAGTAGAGAGGGAGGTGATGCCGAGGCGAGGCGACTCTAGGACGAGCACAGGCCCGCCCGTGTTCAGGCCTTGACCGTATCACTGCTGGGCACGTCCCCTTCCGCGTCCTCGTCCTCGTCCTCGTCCTCCTCCTCTTCCTCTTCCTCCTCCTCGACCGCCGACAGGCCTTCCTCGTCGCCCTCGCCCTCAGCCTCGCCCTCGCCCGCGGCCACCTCGACCTCGACCCCGTCCTCGCCTTCGTCTTCATAGCCCTCCCCGTCGTCATCTTCGTCCTCGTCGTTGTAGTCTTCGTCGTAGTCCTCGTCGTCGTCCTCATCCTCGTAGTCGTCATCGTCCTCGTCCTCGTCCTCGTCCTCGTCGCCCTCGAGGCCGTAGCTCTCCTCGGCCTCGTCGCCTTGGGACGAGCCAGATGGAGCCGCCGCCTCCGCCACGGCCGCCTCGCCCGCCTCGCCCGCCACTCCGGACGCGGCGCCAGGCACCGGCTTGGGCTGCTGCAGCCCGCCAAACGTGACCGGCTCCGCCTTGGTGGCCGGCGACGCGAAGCTGAAGCCGCCGCCCTTCTTGTCGACCTTGGACGAGCCTCCTCCAGCAGCGCCAGGCGCGGGCGAAGCGGAAGCCCCCTTGGTGCCAAAAGAGAACGGCGTTCCAGAGCCAGCGGGAGAGGCAGCGGGCGACGATGTCGCCGTCGAAGATCCCAAGCTGCCAAAGCCGCCACCGACATTCTTGAACCCGGAAAACACCGGAGGCTTGGCAGGGGCAGGAGCTGCGGCCGCGGCGCTCGATCCACCCGCGGGCGGCGAGGCGAAAAAGTCCGACACCTTGGCCGGCCCAGCGGGCGAGCCCGGCGATCCGGCCCTCGCAGTGGCAGGAGGCAGCGAGACGGCAATGCTCGACCTCGGCTTCGACTTCGCTGCATGATGGCCACGCGCCGCCGTGCCGCCTTCGTTGGGCCGAGCGCCGGGCATGAACGGCTTCTCCTCGGGCGGTAGGTCAAAGATGCCAGCCGCGGGCGGCGCGCCAAACTTGAGCGGCGTCAGCGGCGAGCTTCCGAACCCACCGAAGCTGCTCTGCTGCTTCTGCGACTGCTGCTGGGGAGCCGGCAGGGACCCAAACGGCTGCGTGGGCGACGAATAGGCGCTCAGAGGCTTGGCCGGAGACGGCGGAGCGAATCGCGGCCTGCCTCCGTCGGTCGGGGGCGGCGGCGAGCCGGTCGAACTAGCAGCCACGGGCGCCTGGGACACTTCTTGCGGCTGCGACTGCGGCTGCTGCTGGGATGGCGGTGGAGGCGGACGCTGGGCAAGGTGGACGGGGCCCTTGGCGAATGCGATCTGGAGGTCGGAGCTCTCAAACGGCTTGGTGGGTGCGCGTCGGCCCTGCTGGCCGGGCACGGCGGTGCGGTTGAGCAGCGGCTCGGAGCGGGCCGCGATGAAGACGTCCTTGGCCTCCCTCTTGGCGCGCTCGGCGCGCAGCGCGGCCGAGGCGGCTCGGTTGGCCGAATTGGCAGCGACGGCGCCCGATCCGGCAGAGGGCAGCGAGTCGGCGAGCGAGGCGACCGACTCGAATGGCGCCGCGGGTGCGGCCGTCGACGAGCGGGCGAAGCGGTTCGAGACCATCGATGCCGTCATGGACCGGGTGTCACGCAGCCGCTGGCCGGCAGCGGCGGAACCGGGCCTGACCCGGAGCATGTCGAGCTGCAGCGCCAGGTGGTCGAGCTCGAGCACGCGGTCGCTGGCCATGGCCGTAATGTTGCGCGTGGCGCGTGCGATCGAGTCGAGGGTGGGCGCGCGCATCGTCGAGCGACCGAGCTTCTCGTTGGTGATGCGGTTCTTGAGCAGCGCCAGGTACTCGTCGAGCTCCTGCATGCGGTCGCGCACCAGCTGCGACGTCTTGCGCAGCCGGTTCTGGTTCTCGACGTGTTCCGGGCCCAGCTGGCGCACGCGCACAATCTTGGCAAACTCGGGGTCGCTGCGGGCGCGGATGAAGCGCGCCAGCTCCTCGCGCTTGGCCTCGGCCTTGAGCTGGAGGCTCTGCAGCTCGGCCAGCTGCCGCTTCTGGCCCGTGCTCTTGTCCTCGAGCTGGCCCGTCTCGCTCTCGAGGCGGCGCGTCAGCTCGAGCATCTTCTGCAGATCGCCGAAAGACCACTTGGAGGCGTCGCCAAAGTCGGCCGTCGACTCGGGCAGCCCGGTCGGCTGTCGCAGCTGGGCCAGGAAGGCGGCGCACTGGTTGACGTTGCCGCGGAGCTGCAGAGCGGGTGCAAGGGGGGCGTGGCGATGGAGTGAAGATGGGATCGTCAACCACAGGTCAGCATTCTGTCGCCATCTCGTTCGACCTGTTGCCTTTTGGCGTGCACTCACCACTCCGAGCTCCTTGGTGAGGATCAGGTAGGCCTTGAGGAACTCGCCCTGGATGCCCTTCTCGGTCACCTCGCCTGGCTGCAGCTGCGAGACGCCGCCACCGAGCTGCGGTGCCTGACCCGACACGAGCGGGCTCGCACCGCGTGGCGGACCAGCGGCCGCGGCAGCAGCGTCCGGGTGCCGGCGCAGGCGCAGGTGCTGCTTTCGGCGCCGGAGCGGACGCCTTTGCGGGCTGGGCCGGAGGGATTGCTGCCGCGCCGAATGCGCCCGACGCGGGTTTGCCAAACATGCCGCCGCCTGTACCGCCAAAGGCAGGCTGGGAAGCCGGTGTCGATGAAGTCTGCGGTGCGCCCGGGCTCGGTCCGAATGAGAAGCTCGGCTTCTGAGGGGCGGCACCAGCCGGCTGCTTCTGCTGCTGAGGCGGGGCGAAGGTGGCCGGGGCAGCAGCCTGACCGAAGCCGCCAAAGGACGGCTGACCGAGCGGCGAAGGTGCGGCGGGCTTGGGCGCGAAGTTGCCGAAGCTGAACGCGGGCTTTGGCTCGCCACTGGGCGTCGCGGGGGGCTTGATGCCAGCCTGGGCCTTCTCTGGCGATTTCGACAGGTCGTCGCTGGTGACGGGCGCACCTGCAAGCGGCGAGCTGCTTCGAGGCGCACGCGAGTTGAAGCCCAGGAAGTTCTGCTGCGGCTTGGCACCCGCGCCGCCTTGATCGGCCGGCGGCGAGGTTACGGGCTTCGGAGCCTCGGCAGGTTTGCCAAAGCTGAAGCCTCCACCGCTCTGCTGCGTCTGTCCAAAGGAGCCGAACGGCGACGATGGGGTAGCAGCTGCGGCAGGAGACTCAGCGGGCTTGGCAGCCTGCTGCGCCGCGCCCTGGTCTGCCGGCTTGCCGAAACCGGCAAAAGGCGACGGAGTCGGCGGCTTGGACAGATCCGGCGGGCTCTGTGGCTCTTCCTTGACCTTGACTGGCTGGTCCGCCTCGGCAGGCTGGCCAAAGGTCAGAGGCGGCGGGGCGCCAGCCGGCTTGCGCGGGGAGTCCGGCGGAGTCGTCGAAGCACGCACCGCTCTGTCCTGTCCGCCTTCGTCCTTCTTCTCGGCGGGCTTGCCGAACGAGAATCCCGCCGTCGGGGTGCTAGGCTTGCTGCCAAACGACAGGGTCGCCGCAGGCTGCGAGCCGAGGCCGAAAGCAGGCGTCGGCACGGCGTCCTTCTTCGTCTCGTCGGTCGCGGCCGAGATGGTGGGTTTGGGCCCAAAGCTAAACTTCGGAGTCGCAGAATCGGCCGTGCCGGCGGCGGGCTTACCGAAGCTGCCGAAGGGCGACTTGGCGGGCTCCTCTGACTTCTTGTCCTGCTTTCCACCAGCCTCGACGGGCTTGCCACCGGCAAACGAGAAGGGGCTCTTGGGCGCGGCAGTCGCTTCTGCTCCAGGTGCAGGTGAGGGAGCAAACGAGAATGCAGACGGGGCCGCGGCGTCCTTCTTGTCCGCAGAACCAGACGTCGGCGAAGGCGAGATCGGCAGCTTTGAGGCGGCGCCAGCTCCATCTTCCTTCTTGTCCTCAGAAGGCTGGGCCGGAGGGAGGGAGAAGGCCGACTTCGCGGGGACGTCCTGACCGCCAACCTTCTCCTGCGGCTTCGGCGCGAAGCTGAAGGCCGGCTTGGCAGGTGCCTCATCAGACTTGGCGGACGACTCCTTGGCTTCGGTCGCTGGCGACGCTGCTTTGTCTTGCCCGCCTGCCAGGGGCGAGGGTGCCTCTTTCGACTCGGCACTCTTATCCTCGACGCTCTCCGGAGCCTCTTCTTTGGCGAACTCGGCGGGCTCCTGGACCGGTGTCTTATCCTGCTCCTCGACCGGCTTCTCCTGGTCCTCCTTTCCTTCGAGGGTCTTGGTCTGGCCATTAACAACAGGGGCGAAGGCAGAGACCGGCTTCTGCGCGCCGTCTTTTGCGGCGCCTGCGCCGAAGCCAAAGGCAGACGTGCCGCCCGCCTTCTGCTGGCCGTTCTGCGCACCGCCAAACGAGAAGGGCTGGTTGCCGAAACTGCTCCCGGCACCGAATCCAGGCTTGAAGCTGCTGAACGCCGGCGAGGGTGCAGGCGGCGAGGTGGCTCGACCCGCTTCGGCGGTCGCAGTTGCGGTCGTCGAGGAAGACGACGAGGAAGAGGAGGGCTGCGGGGCGGCGCCAGTGCCGCCGAACGAGAACGCAGACGCGGTGGGCTTCTTGTCGCCCTCTGCGGCCTTGTTGAAGGAGAAGGCGGGCGCCTGCGTGCTGGGCGCCGAGACGACCGTGTTGACGCCCGAGTCCGGCGAGCTGGCCGCGGAGTCGGACTTCTTTCCGCCGGGCTGCTTGCCATCCGCGCCTTCCATCTTCTTTTCGTCCTTGCCGCCACCGAGCATGTCATCGAGCCCTCCGAACGAGAAGCTTCCGCCGCTGCCCGGTCCTGCGTCCTTGGCATCGTCGGTAGCGGATCCGACCTTGTCCTTTTCCTCGGCGGCCTTGTTGGTGGCGAATGCGGAGCCGCTGGTGGCGCCAAAGGCGGATGCGGATGTGGTGAAGGCCGAAGTGGGCGTCGACGTGCTACCGAACGCCGAGGGCGCGCCAAAGGCGGATCCGCCGAACGGCTTCGAGGGGGTCGTGCTCGTTTCGAGCTTGCCTCCGCCGCCAAAGACGGAGCCGGGGCTCGATGGCGATGTAGCCGAGGCGAATGCGCTCGTGCCTTTCGAAGCAAAGCTTCCGAAGCCTCCGCCGCTGCTCGTGCTTGACGCAAACCCGCCGAAGCCGCTGCTGCCCGCGGTACTGGCTTCGGCCTTGGCGGCAGGCGTCGTGGGCGTGGATGCAAAAGGGCTGGCGGCGGCAGAGCCAAATGCCGACTTGCCGAAGGCAGATGTGCTGCCGAAGCCGGAGCTCTGTCCGAAAGCTGGCTTGGCGAACGGCGACGGGCTGGACGTCTGCCCAAAGGCAGAGGTCGAGCCGAATGCGGGTGCAGGCGTCGTTATCATTGTCGTCGACGACGTCGCCGCAGCCGCCGTGCTCGGAGTGGACGGCGTGGTCGCGCTACCGGTGACGAAAGGAGAAGCCGGGGCGGCCGGCTTGTCTGCTGCTGCAGGCGTCGCAGGGGTCGATGCGGAGGTGCTCTGGCTGCTGAAACCGAAGCCAAAGCCCGTCGAGCCAAAGCCAGAGGGGCGGGCGGACGCGTCGGCGTTTGATGTCGTGCGTGCAGCCGATCCCCATTGTGCTGCTGTGCTGCCCTTTGGCTCGTTTGGCGTGCCCTCAGGTTTCGCAGGAGCAGCAAACGGCGAGGGCGTTTGCAGGGGCGCTTGGAAGGCTGTGCTGCGTCCGAACGCCGGCGTGCTGGTCTGTCCGAACGCAGATGGCGTGCTGGTCTGTCCGAACGCAGATGGCGTGCTGGTCTGTCCGAATGCAGATGGCTTGCTCGTCTGGCCAAACGCGGAGGGCGTGCTGGGAGCGGAAGGCGTGGCCTCCGGTGCCGGCGTCGCTTGTGCGGGCGCCGGTGTGGACGAGGCGGCCGAGGCGGCCTGGCCCTGGCTCATGCCCGGGAAGGGACCGCCCTGGGTGTTGATGACGTCGTAGGCCAGCAGCACGCCGTCCGAGGTGTAAACATAGAGGACGGGAACCGCTGGCATCTTGTCGTTGCCGTCTCCGCGCGCCGCCGCGTTGGGGTCTTCGATCTCGTCGGTCGCCGTCAGGTCGAGCTCGAGGCCGACGGGCGCCGTGTCCGACGACTTGTCGAGCGAAGAGAAGGGCAGGATGGGCCGGGAGGTCTCGTCGAGCTCCATGATCGACCACGCGGCCGCGCCCCCGCCCTCGCTCGAGCAGCCGAGCAGGCCGACGTCGGTGCTCGGGCTGCTACCCACAAAGACGAGGTGCTTGGCTGGCTCCCATCCTTTGAGCCAGGCGACGTAGCGGTTGCCCTTGCGTGAGGTGTCGCCGTACGGCGGGGCGGGGTCGGCGGGGAACTTGGCAAACGTGACCTGCTTGGCCTTGGGGTCGCGCAGCACGGCGTAGACCTCGTAGGAGTGCTCCGGCTCCTGTTCGCTCGACGACGGCTGGTTGTATGTCGTGACAAAGGCATGGTTCTCGAGCCAGCGGATGTCGGAGATGTAGTACGGGCCATCGAGGCTGGAGGGCTTGGCGATGCGGTCCTTGGCCTCGCCTTCGGGAGTGATCTGGAGGATCTCGCCGTCTTCGAGGCCGAGCGCGATCTGCTTGCCCTTGACCGACCAGCACAGGCTCGAGGTGCGTACGCTGGCGTCTGGGTTGAGCTGCGAGCCCCAGCTCCCCTTTGTGATGTCGAGGACGATGGCGGTGCCCGCATCGATGCCGGCCGCGCCGGGCTGCGAGTAGAGGGCGACGCAGAGCTCGGGTCGGTCGGAGGGGTTGGGCGCCAATTCGAGCAGCTTGAGGTCGGCCGAGGGGGGCTGAAGGACGAATGCGGGGTCGAGGCGCGATCCACTGACGAGGCCGTCGATGTCCCAGGCTGCAATGGCGCCGCTCTCGAAGCCGACGACGAGGCTGGCGTCGGCATTGCCCGTGCGGAGGAACGTGACCTTGGATGCGGCGGGTTTGCCCTCTGAGGTGGTGTCGACGGTGCGGAGGGGTTCCGAGACGCGGGGGGAAGTGTTTCGTGCGGCGGCCTTGAAAAAGGTGCGGAGGGTCGAGAGCTGGAGGACGATGAAGCCCTGGGTGGTGGCGGCGAAAGCGAGGCCTTTTGGATTGGAGAGGGCGAGGAGGTTTGCGGAGGCCTGAGACTGGGAGCCCTGAAGCGGATCAGAGAGCCTGACGTTGACGTCCTTTGCGAGCTGGCGGAGGACGAGGTAGTTGACCTCTTGCTCGCCCGCCTCTGCCTCTGAGTAGCTCATCGACATGACGAGGCGAGGTGCCGTTTCGGTGTGGGGCAAGAGGAGAGCGGAGGGGGGTCAGCAGGAACGGCCTGCGTGCAGCTGCTGGTATCAAGCTGCCGCTACTGTGTCAGCCAGGCGGTTGGGCAGCCAGTGGTCGCCTGCGCCGGCCGGCGAGTGAATGCAGCGGCAGTGTGCGAGGAGAGGCGCAAGCTGGAAGGGGGATGACGTGTGCAGGGGGCCGGGCTGGGAAACGAGGGAGGGGATGTGCGCAAGGCCAGGGTGGTGTCTTGATGGGACACGGAGCGAATGGCCGGAGCGGTTAGAGACGAGGCGGAGCGGTGGGTGAGGGCTGGAAAGGATGGGGTGGTGGTGGGTGGTGACGAGGGTCGACGACGAGATGGCTGGTGGAGGCGGAAAAAGATGCAGAGGCCAGGCCAGGGCCAGGCCAGCGCAGCCAGCCAGCCAGGAGGGCCAACCCAACACCCGGCTGCCAGCTGAGCCTGGCCTGGCCATCTCGGAGCCGCAAAAGAGGACCCTGGCTTAAGAAGAAAAGGCTAGGGCGAGGCAGGCACGCTCACCTCATCCGGCCCGCCTCCCGACGCTCGCTCGCTCGGCGTCTTGGTGCCCAACGGGTGCCATTCAGATTCTGGCCAACATCATTGCCACCACCACCATTACCGCCGCCGCCGCTATCCTCGCTGCTGTACTCTGGCACTACTGATTACAACCGCCCCGCACCACGCAGCATCGCAGTCACACCGCACACCATGGCGCTCCGGTCGCCCCTCTCCAGCTCGGTGAGGTCCCTCCTCGCCTCGTCTGGCCCCTCGACCTCTTCTGCCGGCGCAGCGGCAGCAGCAGCAGCAGCCGCTTCAGCCTCATCGAGAGCCACGGCCGCCAGGATGACGGTGCGCAGCTACTCTGACCGGCCACCGTCGGGCCCCATCCCGCCGCCCCACGCCGCATCATCATCGCCCTCTGCCTCGTCGTCGTCGTCGGCCTCGACCCCCTCGTCCTCGGCCTCTTCGTCGGCGTCCGACCAGACGCACTTTGGGTTCAAGACGATCCCGTCTTCGGAAAAGGAGACGCTCGTCGGTTCCGTCTTTTCCTCGGTGGCGTCCAAGTACGACGTCATGAACGACGCCATGTCGCTCGGCATCCACCGGCTGTGGAAGGACCACTTTGTCCAGAAGCTCGACCCGCGCGGCGGCATCAAAGTCCTCGACGTCGCCGGCGGCACGGGCGACATTGCGCTCCGCATCCTCGACCACGCCCGCACCGCCCACTACGACCGCGAGACGAGCGTCACGGTGCTCGACATCAACCCCTCGATGCTCGTCGAGGGCCAGAAGCGCTTCAAGCAGTCCATGTACTGGAACACGCCCCAGGTCTCGTTCCAGCTTGGAAACGCAGAGAACCTCGCCGCAACCATGGACGTACCCCCGCTCCCCGCGCGCGGCCCCAACAGCAAGCAGCCCCTCCTGCCGCAGCTCGAGAGCAAGCCCATCGCCGACCAGTCCATCGACCTCTACACCATCGCCTTTGGCATCCGCAACTGCACCCACATCGACCGCGTCCTCCAGGAGGCCTACCGCGTCCTCAAGCCCGGCGGCGTATTTGCCTGCCTCGAATTTGGCAAGGTCACCGTCCCGCTCCTCGCCCAGTGAGTTGCCGGCTGCCCCGGCCGATGGTGCACTTGCAGCCCCCCTCCCCCGCTTCATCGTCTGACAACCGTCCGCGCCCCTATCTCTCGTCGTCTTCTCTTCGCAGAATCTACCGACAGTACTCGTTCAACTTCATCCCGCCGCTGGGACAGCTGCTGGCGGGGGACAGGGAGAGCTACCAGTACCTGATCGAGTCGATTGAGCGCTTCCCGACGCAGCCCAACTTTGCGCGCATGATTCGCGACGCCGGCTTCCACCTGCCCGGGTCGCCCGCCGCCACGTCGCTCGGCTTCCCCGCTATCCAGTCGTCGCTCCTCGGCGGCGGTGGACCCGCCGCCGCCGCACCCAGGGACGAGGACCGCGACGTCCTGGGCGCTTGGGAGGACTTGAGCCTCGGTATCGCCAGCATCTGGATGGGCGTCAAGGTCTGATACCTACCGTGCCGAGCCCAGGCCAGCGAGATGGCGAGCGCTCCGTTTCGCACTCGAATGTAGAAACACCGCCTGCCCTCTGTTCGGATGAAACGCAACAAACTACCGGAGATAAGCCGACATGCTCAATCGAAACGGAGCACAACCCCCCTTTCTTTGCCAGACATGTCGAGCCGCTCAGCCGCGCCTCGATCCGACCTTGTCGCCGGAAAAAAGCGGTGATCCCTCGAGGCCCAGCTGCGCACAGAGAGAGAGCGAGAGACCGAGGCGGATCAGCCTCGGAGTCCTCGCACCGCAGCACGCCTTCCCCCTCTCGATGCCAAGTTAGCATCGCCACTCACCCTGCGATGAATCTCGTCGGCCCACACGCTCATGCGCCCGACGCTGTCCTCAAGGTGACGCACGCGCGCGCCCGTCTCGTCGAGGGCCTGCTGCCGCTGCTCCAGCTGCTGATGGTACTGCTGCTGCTGCCCCGCCAGCTCCGTCTGGGCCTGGTGCAGCGACGTCTCGAGCTCCATCAGCTTGACCTTGATGTGCTTGTTCTCCTCGCGCAGGCTCTCGACGTCCGTCCAAAGGTGCGAGGGCGGCGGCGACGAGTGCGTCGTCGTCGGCCCGTCGGACGGCGCAGACGAGGGCGAGGTCCAGTAGGCGGCTGCCGTCGCCGCCGGAGCCGAGGCTGCAGCCGCGTCGGGCCGGGTCGCTTCGGGCTCGGATTCGATCTCGAACTTGCCGCCATTGCCGCTATCCCACGCTTGGATGGTCCGCTTCGGCTCCTCTGGAATCACGTGCTGCTCATCGTAATTCGTCTCGTACTGCGAAACGTTCCCAGTCGCAACGTACGGCGACGCTGCGCTCTCGCTGACGCACGCCCCGTCGCCGAGCAGGGCAGAGGGACGCTCCGACTCGACCGAGCTGGCAAAGTCGGTTCGCCACGAGGGCCGTCCCTCTGCCTCTGGCAGGGTCGATTCCGACATGGTCCGCCTCGGCTTGGCTCGGCTGGCGGCTGAGCCAGCCGGTGGCTTGTCCTCGTCGCCTGCTTCGACCTTGATGCCCTTGACGTGCGAGCGCTGCGGCGGCGTTCCCCATCCGTCGTCCCAGGCGGCCATGAGGATGTCCTCGAGGTCTCGGTATCGGTGCCAGGTCGGGTACATGGCCGCCGATCCCGAAAGTCGGCTCTGGGCCCGCCTTTGTGCGGCCGTGCTTCGCTCGTTGCGAGCTTTGCTCTGTTGAGCCTGGTTCTCGGCATCGCTCAGGATCTCTTCGGCAATGTGCAGGCGGCTGGCAATGTGAAGGTCAGATACGGGCAAGAGGAAATCGGCCTCCTCTGCGTCTTGTTCACCTGCCGCCACGGCAGAAGATGCCTTGCCTGCCAGTTGGGCCTTGCTGTCCTCTTGCTCACGCTGCTTGAGCGCCCCATCGAGGTCGCCCACCCAGTCCTCTGACGGCACCGAGGACTGTGGGCGCTGGCTGCCGGGAGTGGCGACGCTCTTGACCGACGTGGCGGCCGCAGCATTGCTTGTCGACGAGGAGTCAGGAGTGCCTGCCGTCAGGCCAGCTGCACGACGCCACTTTTCCTCGGCTGAGCGGGATGCAACTCTGTTTGACTGTGACTGAGGCTGAGGCTCCGCCTCGGGGCGCTCGGCCCTCGAAGGGGCCCGGACGGCGCTGCTGACGGACGTCGCCGACAGACGCGTCGGCTCGAAGGCGGACCTCCAGGTGCGAAAGAGGGAAGTGGGGTGCTGCTCTGTGCCCAGAGACGGGAAGAGGTGGTCGATCCCCGAGGCGAGCCCGCCCAGCGAGAAGCCCGACCTGATCGGCTGGGACGTGCGGCTCGTCCGCGATTCCGCCGAGTGGTCAGGCTGCGGCGCTGCGTCGCCACGTCGCGTGGGTTTTTCGGAGTCGAACTCGCCCGCGGTCCCGTTGCGGAGCGCCTCTTGCTGCGCGCGCACCCTTTGGCGTGCCTCTTGGAGCTCTGCCTCGAGCTTTACGGCGGCGCTGCGGGGATCGGCTGAGCGGACGTCGCCAGAGAGGGCGGCGTCGACGAGGCTCTCGACGCGGCTGGCGGCGAGGGCGTTTACCCTTGCGAGGTCGAGCGCGACCCTCCTCCAGGCCTGGGCGTTGCGCTGGGCGAGGTTCTTTGTGTTCACGAGGCGGTGCATGGTTCTGCGCGTCTTTGCGGTGACGATGAGTGCGCCTGCGAGGGTGAGACCGAAGAGGACAAAGGAGAAGGTGGTCCTTCCCGAGTTGGTGCCGCTGGGCTGTGTCGATGCGTGGGGCGACGCCGAGGTGGATGAGGGGTGCGGGGCGATGCGAGAGGCGGGCGCAGGTGCAGGCTCGTGCAGAGGCTCGCGGTGGCTTTCGTCTGCTTTGGTGAAAGAGGGCAGGAGGGACGAGACCCAGGCGGTGACGGAGGACGGGCCAGAGCGCGAAGACGACGACGACGACGACGACGACGACGACGACGACGAGGGCGTTGACGAGGGGGCGGACGGTTGGGCCTGGTCTTTGTGGTCACGGAAGGGGTTGGAGGCGAAGCGGGTGCAGCAGGCGTAGCCGACTAGCATGGCTCACAGCAGGGTTGCGGCCAGGAAGCGGGGGTGCTGGAGGGCCAGTTGGCCAAGGGGCGACGGCGGGCTAGAGGGGGCCGGGTGAAACAGACGACGGACCTTGGGCTGGAAAGGGGAGGTAGGAAGGGGGACGATGGTGGTGAGGATGAGGGAGGTGGCAAGGCGTGAGTAGAGGCGTTTAAAGGATCCCCGCTTCGCTGCGACGGCGATAGAGGGAGGCCGGATGAGCTGGCAAAGAAAGCACGGAGCGACCAGGCCGTGCCGCTGCGGTGCTGCTTGGGTAACCTCGCCTCGCCGCCCGAAGGAGCGTGGGAAGAAGAGGGAGCGGGGGAGCGGGGGAGCGAGGGAGCGAGGGAGCGAGGGAGCGAGGGAGCGAGGGAGCCAGGGAGCCAGGGAGCCAGGGAGCCAGGGGGCGAGGGGGCGAGGGGGCAGCAGGTCAGCACGCAACCAAGCAACCAACCAAGGCGGGGTCAGGTTCAGGTTCCAGCTGCTGGCTGGCAGGCTCTCAGGGTCCAGCCAGGGTGGCCCATGCATGCAGCGCAAGCAGCTGACAGCTGGCCTGGCCACCTTTGGCGCGCGGGCGGGCGTGCGTTGTGTCGGCTGACCCGCGCTCGCTCGCTCGCCTGCTGCATTTTTACATTTTTTTTTTCTTTTTTCTGCTTGTCGCTCGCCGGCGGCCACCGGGCTGGCAGCTGCGCGCGCAACCAGACCCTGCATGCGCGCCAGACAGAGGTTGAGCTGTCGAGGCAGCAAGCACGGACGAAATTGTTTCGGCCGAGTGGGCAGCCAGCGATTCCGACTTGGACGTGAAAGCTCAATTGGCCCCCCGCCCAGCTCGGCCAGAGCCACGCAACGCAGGCGGCGGGTGGAGGCCAGCTTACCCCGCACTCACTCTGGCCGACGACCGCTCGTCTGTCTGCCCACCACCACCATCCTCGCCATCCCTAGGCCTCCACCCTCACCCTACACCATCCTCACGCCTTCAGTCCATCCCATCACCTACCTTGCCGCACACTCATCGACACCATGTCAAAGACGGCCACGACCACCATGGACCAGCAGGCCACCCAGGCGCTCGGCGCACACGAGTCGCTCCACTGCCCCGGCTTCGAGTCGTCCAAGGTCTTTGCCCTCTCGTCCCAGCTCCTCCGCAACCCGCCCCCCAACCTCCCCTCCCGCAAGCGCCTCGTACGCACCTTCCGCAGCATTTACCTCTTCATCATCCACCCCTCCAGCCCGCTCGACCCATCCAACCCGCGCTCCAAGCCCGTAGACGGCAAGGTAGAGACGTCCGGAGGCGCGCTCCGGCCCGCAATGTGGTTCGTCGACCTCAAAAACAAGGGCTTCGTCGGAAAGGGACAGCCGCCCAAGACCGTCCTCGGCAGAAAGACAAAGGCAGACGTCGTCATCGAGTGCAAGGACCGCGACTTTGTCGACATGGCCACCGGAAAAGTCCACCCGCAGAGGCTCTACAACGACGGCAGGGTGAGCCGTGATGGCCCCAATTTGTTCCACCCTTCCCTCGCTGAGCTTTTCGTCTTCGCCTCCCACCCCCCTCTCCTTGACCCCCCCCATCTCCCCCAGATCAAGATCCGCGGCAACCTCGACAACGCCCTCAAGATTGCCACCCTCATCTCGCACGAGCGCTCAAAAATCTACGGCACGCCCGCGCCCGCCCCTCCCTCCGACGCTCGCGCCCCCACCGCCGCAGAGGACTTCCAGCGCGAAGGTCACTCCAGCGACGACTATGGCGCCGGCAGCCCCGCTCCCGTCCCCAACCGCGCCAAGCTCTGAAAACGGCCGGCGTGCTCCAACGCCGCCTCTGCCGCACGGTGTCGATGCAACAAGGGCATTCTTCTGTCGTTCGAATGAATGGGCTGACCTCGAGTCTAAGCTAAGCGTGCTTACTGCTGCTGCTGCTGCTGCGATGCGATGCGGTGCGATCAAGAGGGTGTGGAGCGGAGCAGGGAGGGCAAGCGTCGAAAGCAAAGGCTGCTACTACCACCGAATACCGAGTGAAACGAGCGTATCGACGTCGAAAGACGAGTGAGATCAAACGAATGTGAAGGATAGGCCAGTAGTGTCACCTGCGCCGTCGACCGACGTTGGGGGCGAATCGCGGCAGGGACGGCAAAGGAACGACGAAACGATAAAAGGCATGAACGGAGCCGGTCAAAAGAGGCGCCCGATGTGGCCCGGTCGATGGGGGGTCCGGGGCATGAGTGCAAAGGACGGTGAAACGTCTTGAAGGGCAGCGAGCCAGAGCGGGTTGGTTAAGCGACGGTAGCGCGGGATAGATCCGCCGCCGATGGCGTCGCAACATGGCCTCTCCTTGGCCGTCTAAACGACTTGGAAACCCGCTCATCCCCCCTCTCAGCCGAAGCCGTAGCCGTAGCGGAAGCGGAAGCGGCAGCCGCACCGCGAAACATGCGCCACAGCCCGCCGATCCCTCGTGCCTCCCTGGAAGGTCGACTCGGATCAACGACAGAGGGGGAGGAGGAGGAGGAGGAGGCGGTGGCGACGAGGGTGGAGGTGCGCTGCGCCTTTTTCGCAGCCGCGACGACGGGGCCAGAGGAGGCGAGGGTGCGCGGCCGGACGTGTTCGCGCGATAGACGGTGGAGCGACGAGCTGCGCCGACGCGCTCCCGGCGCTACGCCCAGTCGACTCGGGTCGGTGGGCGGGGCATTGGCCCCCGCCGAAGTCGTCGTCGTCGTCGTCGTCTTCGAGAGTACCTGTACGCCGCCGTGCCGCAGCGTCGTTTTGAGGTCGCTCCCGTCGTCACCGTCACTGCCACTGCCGCTGCCACTGGTGTGGGTGCCGTCCCTTTTGCAGTGCAGATCCGTCACCCCGCTGGTTGCATCGGCGGCGTGACTTGGCACCTCGCTCTCGACGATAGGGGACAGGTCCGGAGAGATGTACGACGATCCCTCGCTCCTCGGCGTCGGCATCGTCGTCATCGCCGTCGCAATCGGCGTCTTGGACAAAGTGGCACGAGGGAATGTGTGAGGCGACACGACCTTGACATCGCCCATCTCATTCGGCGGTGACGGCAGTTCAGGCGCGACGCTCTCGCGCCGCATGCCGATGGCGGTCGGACCGGACGCAGCGCGACCGGGAAAGAGCGAGGCGAGCGACTTGGGCCGCCGCAGCGTCGCCAGGCCGAACCGTTTGACGCTCGATCTCTTCTCGGGTAGCCGTCCCGTCTCCAATTCGGATGGAGTGTGGTCGGGGCCTGAAAGCTTCGGCGACGACTGTAGTGGCGACGACGGCGTCTCGGGCGTGCGCGGAGGCTCGAGCAGCGGACTCAGGGCGTTGTCGTGCGGAGACGACTGCGGCTGCCTCCTTGCGCGCTCGGGCGAGGAGCAGGCCGAGCCGCCGCCGTCGCCGTCGTCGTGGCTGTGATTCTGCTTCGAGTCCCTGCGGAGCAGGTGCGAGGCGTACATCGCCTCGATCTGGTCCCTGGACGGCGGAGGAGGGCGTGGAGCAGCGGCGCTCTCGCTTTTGATCTGCGCCTCGGTCTGAGCGCCGGCGGCGGGAGACGCGTCTCGCTCGGGCGACGCCTCGATGACGTTGATCTCGGCCTTGACGAGGTCAGCGCTGCGCGTCACGACACGGCGGGCGGGGGTCACGGTGGCCTCTGATCCGGCCCTGACGCGGCTCTGGCGGCAGACGGCGCTGCAGCGCTGCGAGCACTGGCCGGGATGGCAGGGAGCGGACAGGGGCGCGTCCGACGAGCCGTAGCCCGACACGGACAGAGGACCCGGCTTGCTCGGCGCGGCTGCCTCGCTTGCGGCCGTCGACGTCTGCCTGGCCGCTTCTAGTCGCGCCATCTTGATCTCGAGCTCCTGGATCGTCTGGAGCAGCGTATCGCGCTCGCCCGCCTCGGGAGCCCGGTCCAACTCGCTGCCGGCCCAGGAGCCCAAAAGTGAAGAGCGGGTCTCGCTGATCATCCGCGCCAGCGCCTCGGCGATGGCACCCATCTGCTCCAGCTTCTGACGCACCTCGTGGCCATCGAGGTCGGTCTTGGTGCGCCGGTGGAGCCCGGAGCGGGGCCTGGGCCTGCCCTGCATCTTGCTCTCTGTTGCTGGGACCGGCGGGATCGCGGGCGCGTCTTGCGATACCTCAGCCGGCCTGGACACGATGCCGAAGCTGCTCGAGATCTTCACGTGGTGCTCGGTCTGGACGAGGCTGGGCTCGGCGACGCTGCTAGCACCGGCGCCAGCGTGCGAGCATTCGCTGGAGAGGTAGCTGTCGACCGAGACGCTGCCGCAGGTCAGCTCGGAAGCAGGCGTGGCAGGAGAGGCTTTGTCCCTCTGGCCGCCGCTGGCCACCCGGCGCTTTTCGGAAACGTCGGGAGTACGGACCGCGTCCACTTGAACGCCGATAGACGGTCGGCGAGCGGAGGTCCTCTCTTCCATCAGCTCCGCCTTGGAATCAGAGATGGACCTCCTGTGGCCACGCCTGGATCCGCTTGGCTCCCTCGATGGGCGACCCGGTTTCTTGGGCGTCTTTGCCTCGCTGGTAGAAGGTTGCTCGGAAGGGGCGACTTTGCCGCCGAACTGCTTGGCAAGAGACGCAACCTTGCGGATGCCGGTGCGCGGCGTGACGATTGCAGCCTGCTTGGGCAGTTGCGACGCCGACGGCGCTTGCAATCGGCGGCCGACCGCTGTTGCCGACTTCGTGGTGCCTGCTGCGCCTGGGTAAAAGAAATCGTCCGTTGCCGTAGCGGAGGTGTCGACCTGTTGTGATGGTGCGTGCTGAAGCTTCCTCGAAGGAGTGCGGAGTGGTCGCGACGGCGACAGAGCGGAAGGGGTATCGCGCTTCATCGGGCTAGGAGCCCGAGCCGACGCCACGGGCACCAGGCGCAACAGGCCAGATCCGGCTGCTGCATTTGCGATCGCCTGCTTCAGCGGGGTGCGATGAGGCCGATGCGGTTTCGCTAGCGAGGCGGTGCGACCAAGAAGCGGGATCGCACTGTCCGCTTTCGTGAAAGGAGACTGCGACAGCGTCGTGCCTTCGTCGGAAGCGTGGCGTTGGACCTCGGCCGCGCTGGCTCCGGCGACTTGGCGGTCTCGGCTGCCATCGGGCGAGTCGACGGCCTGCTCCATTCGCAGCTTCGAGCAGGCTTGAGGCTGGGGCCGAGATCGGAGAGCGGTCGGCCGTGCCTGCCAAGGAGGTGAAGCCTGGACGAGGTCGGTAGCCAGCGAGTCCATGCCCACAGCCGACAGCGTCGGCGAAGGAGGGGAAGCGGGACGCCGAGCGATCTGCAGATTCACATCGCCCTCCTTCATCATATCACGGCCGTGCTGCTGAAAGTGCGGGCCATGGGCTTGACGAGACTGCAGACGCTCCGGTGGGACATCGTACGGTCCCGTGTAGGGAACGTAGTCACCGTCGTCGTCGTCGTCGCTTTCGTGGCGACAGAGACGGCGGCTGCCGTGGCCGACAGCGCCCCTGGTCTCCCCGGGTGAGTACCCTTCGTCCTCGCTCATGCCGTCCTCGCTGGGGAACATGTCCATGATGTCCTCGAGCGAGTTGTCGAACGACGTCGACGTCGGGTCGAAGTACGGGTGGAGTAGCGCGTCGGCAGCGTCGATGCGATCGGCGGGCGCGGCGCTGAGCATGCAGCGCACCAGGTCCTCGAGGTCGGGCGGAATGTCCCAGGACCCGACCCAGACGCCGCTCATAGTGCGGTGGTAGTAGGCCTGCAGCTGCTCGCGCGTCTGGAACTGCTCATCCTGGAGCTCGAAGGGCGTCCGCGTCGCCGCAATCTCGAAAAAGGTGACGCCGAGGCTCCAGATGTCGCTGGCGCGCTCGTCGTGGAGATCTCCTCGAGCACGCTCGGGGGCGAGGTACTCGGGAGTGCCCCAAGAGACGTGGGTCATGAACGCATCCTTCTTGGATGCATCGTGGATCGTGGCGAAGCCGAAGTCGACCTGGGAGAGCAGGATGACGCCACGAGCAGGGACAGCAGGTCAGCAATGGCCAGATCGACGTCCGTCATGAGAGCGAGTATGCGCGTGTCCTGGCAGCTCACCAGGATGGGAGTCCCCTTGCCCAATAGGCCCGTGTAGTTGACGAGCATGTTGGCCACCTTGATGTCGCTGCGGGTGGGCAGGTGAGGCGGTAGCACGACTTGGTCGTCAGCAGACAGGTCACAGCATTGGAGATGGCGCTGCGCGATCGAGTCGAACTCACTTGTGGCAAACGCCTCGCTGGTGCAGCCAGAAGAGGCCGGAAAGGAGCTGCTGGAAGTACGATCGACATCGCTCGTCGGGCAAGCCCACCTTCATGGGCTCGTCGTAACACGGCATGACGATCCTGGAAAGAGAGCACATCATGCAGCGCGGGCCCCAATCCTCGCTTGTCAGTGCCAGGGTGTACAGCAGCTACGAGGGCCCAGCCTCGCCGAGGGACTCACATGGCGATCGAGGGGGTGACGACGAACTCATAGAACTTCACGATGCTGGGGTGCCAGTCGGGGCCGAAGATGCGATCCCCTCTGCTGCGGCCGCGTGGGGAGGACGAAGAGGAGAGCGAGCTGCTGCAGGTGGCGTCTCCCTCGGAGTGGTACGAAGCGTCGATGAGCGAGCGCAGCATCTTGAACTCGTGCCAGAGCCTCTCTGTGCGCGCCGACGACTGCGAGTTGCGCTCGCGCGTGCAGACCTTGATGGCCAGCGGGCGGTGGGCGGGGTTGTCGACCCGGACGTGGCCGACGCCGTTGAGCTTGCGCGTCGCGATCTGCGGGTAGGCAGAGGCGGGGAGGTGCTCGAGCTCCTTGACCGGTGTCGCTTCCCAGATGCTGCCCCATTCGCCGAAGCCTGGACGCGCGGCCGACGGCGAAGGCCAGGACACAAGACGATGGCGGGAAAGCGAAAAAGGGCAAGGTCGGGGGTCAGCACGCACGGCAGCAGTCACGGTTGCGCCATCGACGGACCCGCAGCGGCACCCACCGATCTCCTTGACAAAGTTGTAGCGAGCCGCCAGCTGCGAGTCCGAGAGGCTGAAGACGGCGGCCTTGTCGTTGCCGCGATTCCTCCGCTGGACCTGGCGCCTGCTGCTGTTGCTGCTGCTCTCGGAGCCGACGCCGTGCTGTACGAGGTCGCCGCCCATCGCGACGGCGGGCTGGGCGCGATCCTTGTGCCGGTCGTGGTGACCGTGAGCGAGACGCATCAGAAGCTGCTCCTTGCCCGCGGGGGCGTTCTGTGGCGACAGGAGGATGTCGGCCCTCCCGGCGGGCAAGCCGCGGTGACTGGCGTTCGGAGGCGAGTATCGCTGCTGCTGGCGCTGCTGGTGCTGCCAGTGGCGATGGGGCGGCGGAGCATCTCTGACCAGTCCGACGGCGTGCACCTCGACGTGGTGGTCGAGATCGAGAGCGTTGCGACGGGGCAGCGGCTGTGCTCGTGCGTCGGTGGTGGTGGTGCTGCTGGCTCCTTGTTGTTGCGACGGGGCGCCATGGCGTGGTAGGTGGTGGGCGCGCTGGTGGCAAGGGTTTGCTCCTGCATCGTGGAACGGAGGCACGGGTTTGCGGCGGTGCAGCGAGTGGACGGCCTTGGTCACTGGCGACCCACCACGCCCAACAATGAGGCTCTGTGTGGGTAGGCTCGCTGCCTCGGCGGCCCACTTGGCCGAAGGGGTGGGGCTGCCGATGGCCGGATCAGCGCCAGCGCCAGCGCCGGCATCAGCGCCAGCGGCACCGGCAGCAGTTGCTGCTGCTGCCAGCCTATCTGGCGACGCGTCCCCACCAGTCGCCTGGGCCGTACGCCGCGCCGTGATTCTTCTCGCTCCCGACGACGGCGCGCTGTTGCAGCCGTGGACGTGGCCCGTGGCTGCTGCTGCTGCTGCTTCTGCTGCTGCTGCTGTCGCTGCCACCGGCTTGTGTTTGTCGGCTGGGCGTGGAAGCCAGCTCATTGCCCTCGAGCCACCCTCGTCGGTCGCTGCGACTTTTGCAGATCGCTCTTGGACGTTTTCGCCTTGGTCGGCTTGCAATTGTCGCGCGGCTCGGGCAGTGCTCGCGCTCAGCAGGCTGCCGGCGACGGCGGCGAAGAGCGCGTCGTGGCAGTCTCGATCGTGGGTTGCGGTGGCAGCCTTGTGCGTCGTCTCGGTGAGCTTGCCATCGATGCTGCCAGCCGACATGATGAGCGCCGAGCGCTGGACGCGTCTGCACCGCCCTGTCTTGACGCTGACCGTCGTTGAGAGCTGCGATTCTTAAGACGACGTGCCAAGGATGCTCGCACAGCGGCAGCAGGGGAGGGACGCGGAAGAGCGGAGCGGCAATGGTGACGAGGAGGACGAGATTGAGAAGAGCGGACAGAAAGAGGGAAGCCCGAAGGAGGCGTGTGGCCGCTCGAGGAGTGGGCTATAAAGGTCGTCGAGGCGAGTTCCAGCCTTGTCGCGCCCGTCGCTCGACTTCATCTGGCCCACCATGGCCCCTATGACCGAGTCGAGCCGATTGCATCCGAAAGCTCCCTCGAGGCAGCAGTGTCTTGACTGAGAATCTTGGTTGCGCAACAAGAGCAGGCGTTGCGCCCCGAAGCTGCCTCTGCCAGCAGCAGGTAATCGCGGCAGAGGCTCCGAGGGGCCCGCTTTCTGGGTTCCATGATACCTGCCTGCCTACCTTCTGTACCTACGCACCAGCCTACGTTGACCGAGAGCAAGAGGTTGATCTTGCCTCCAAAGAGGCCGTCCGTGGCGGAGCTGCGGCATCAAAGAGATGAAGCACAGCAAAAGAGATGAAGCACAGCAACGAGAGCGACACTATACCGCGCGTGCTGGTTTGGTAGGTCCCTTGTCCCGGGGCGTGCGAGCTCGTCGGAGGGCCGAAGAGTGGGTCGAGATGAGGACGTCGAGTGGCTGTAGCCCGACAATAAATGGTTCACACGGGGCCTTTGTGTGGGCTGCAAGTCGTCCCTGTGTCCATGGGAGGGCACGAACCTCTTTCCTCCTCTGGCAGGTTGTTCGTGTCTGGCGCTGCGAGGCAATGGGAGCCATGTTGTGTTCAGGTGAAGTCCCTTTCTGGCGAGGATGCTTGCAACGGAGGGCGTCAGGAGTGAAAAGAGAGCCGTTACGCGGTGGTGCTCAGGGCAGCTGGCCGAATGGTGGGCATACGGGTGGCGTGTGTCGGTGCCTCGACGCCCCGGCGATCCTGCACGCCCTCTCTTCCCTGTACGGAGTGAGTGCTGCGGATGATGGCGCCGACAGGCAGCGCACCGATGTACCTGCTGCCTACCGCTGCCTGCCTGGCCATGGCATCGCTCCCGGGGCGAAGGTGCAGCCTCAGACCGTGACTTTGACGAGGAGGGAGCGGACTCCGTTGTTGCCCGGGCCTGCTCGCGAGAAGATGCCCACCCACGCACACACGCATGCCTGTACTCGGTTGTCCACAGCGATGCGGATGTGATGGCCATGAGGGTGAGGCTGCCAGGTGAGGGCGTGCTGATTGCAGTCAGGTCGCCGAAGAAGTCGTCGGAAGCTGCCGTACGGCTGTCGGGACGCTGCCGTCGAGGGGCGGCATCGATGGCCGCTGGTGGCAACGAGACAAGTCGAGCTCGGGCAGGACGGCTTCGTCATGGCGGGCGACGTCGAGGCCGAGGTCGAGGCTAGGTCGAGGGCGAGGGACCCGGACCCACGCGGCAAAAATGGGACGGACCCGACCCGTGGCCCAGCCGAATTTCGGGCCGTCCAAGACGCCGCGGCAGAGGAAGAAGCAAAGACTGGGCGGGCGCCATGGACGCCATGGATGCCAGCATCTCTGGCGCGGCCGCTCGCCTGCTTGAATTGCACGCCAGCTGGTTGGGCCCCCGCAGCCTGCCCTGCCATGCCCATGGTTGGCGCTGGTGTTGGTCGCGGTGGTGGTGGTGGTGTTGGTGGTGGTGGTGGTGCGGGGTCTCGGACCAGCTCCGCTGCCCTGGCGGCCTGTCCCGACCTGACCTGACCTGACCTGACCTGACCTGGCCTGGCCTGGCCAGGCCAGGCCTTGCTTCCTTCTCACGCTCACCATCGGCTCTCGCTCCGTCACCTCGCCCTGCCTTGCCCCCCGCCCCCGCCCTCTTTTCTCGGAGACACATAAAGCAAACGGCGGCAGCCTCGTCCCTCACCTCTGGGGACCTTCGCCATCACCCACCACCGCCTCCCAGCAACGGCCCCGCACGCAACCAAGTGCTCCTCAACCATGGCCAGCCGACTCGCCCGCTCCGTCGCCTCGGGCAGTGCCTCCAAGCGCCTCTGCCGCGATGCCGCCGCGAGGAGGTCTCTCGCCACCGCAGCGGCCTCGACCGCCGCCTACGGTAGCAGCAGCAGCATGTCGTCCATCTTTCCCACCGAACCTGCCATGCCCACCGTCCTCACCTCGTCCATCCCCGGGCCGCAGAGCAAGCAGGCCAGCGAGCGCATCGGCACCTTCCAGGACAACCGCGCCCACGGCTTCGTCACCGACTACCAGAAGTCGATCGGAAACTGGATCGTCGACGCAGACGGCAACGTCCTCCTCGACATGTTTGCCCAGATCGCGTCGATCGCAATCGGCTACAACAACCCGGACCTCATCGCCCTCGCGCGCACCGACGAGTTCATCACCGCCACCATGAACCGCCCCGCCCTGGGCTCGTTCCCGCCCACCACGTGGACCGAGTGGGTCGACACGGGCCTCGGCACCGTCAAGCCGCGCGGCCTGCAGCAGGTCTTTACCGCCATGTGCGGCAGCTGCGCAAACGAAAACGCCTTCAAGGCCGCCTTTATGTCCTACCGCGCCCGCGAGCGCGGCGAGCAGGCCAGCTTCACGCCCGACGAGCTGGCGTCGTGCATGCGCAACCAGGCGCCGGGCAGTCCGGACCTCAGCATCCTCAGCTTCAGCCAGGCCTTCCACGGCAGGCTGTTTGGCTCCCTATCGGCCACCCGCTCCAAGGCCATCCACAAGGTCGACATCCCCTCGTTCAACTGGCCCTCGGTGCCCTGGCCCGCGGTCCGCTACCCGCTCTCGGAGCACGCGCGCGAGAACGCAGACGCCGAGCGGGCGTCGCTCGCCATGGTCGAGGAGGCCATCGTCGACTCGCGCAAGCCCGGATCGCCCTACGGCGCCGTCGCCGCCCTCATCGTCGAGCCCATCCAGAGCGAGGGCGGCGACAACCACGCCAGCCCGAGCTTCTTCCGCGGCCTCCGCGACGTCACCAAGCGCCACGGCGTCTACATGATCGTCGACGAGGTCCAGACGGGCGTGGGCGCCACGGGCAGCTTCTGGGCCCACGACAAGTGGCAGCTCGACACGCCGGCCGACTTTGTCACATTCTCCAAGAAGATGCAGGTGGGTTTCGCGGCCTCGGGGCCCAGCGTAGCGCAGCACGATGCGATGAGAAGCGCCACCCGCTGACCGCCTCCTTTGGCCCTTCGTCCCCGCTCCTCTGTGCCCGCCGCGACTCGACAGGCCGCCGGCTTCTACCACAACCTCGACACGCGTCCGACGATGGCCTACCGCAACTACAACACGTGGATGGGCGACCCGACGCGGACGCTGCAGGCGCGGCAGATTATCCAGACGATCCGGACGCACGGGCTGGTGGAAAAGACGGCGTCGGTGGGCTCGCACATCTTCCGGTCGCTGACGTCGCTGTTTGAGACGGCGGCGGGGCGGGGCAAGGTCGAGAACCTGCGGGGCGAGGATGCGGGCACGTTTATCGCGTTTGACTGCACGACGCCCGAGGTGCGAGACCGGCTGGTGATGGAGATGCGCCGGGAGGGCGTCCACCTCGGCGGATGCGGGGAGCGAGCCATCCGGCTGAGGCCGATGCTGGTGTTTGAGCAGGGCCATGCCGACCTCTTCCTCGAGAAGATGGAGCGGGTGCTCAAGAAGCTGTAGCGTAACCTCGCGGTTCGTAGAGGTGCAAATGTATCCGTGTCAGGAACCGGCGTTGATCCCGAGGTCTCTAGACGGCGGGCTAAGGCTGTACGGCTGCGGACATGGCTGCCCTTCGTTGTCGGGCGTGGTCGCAGCGATGGCTGTCTGACATGGGTGCGGCTCAGTCTAGTCGCCGGGAAGAGTCGCGAGTGCGGAGCGGAGCGGAGCGGTGAAGCCAAGCCTGGCATGACCTTGACTGGGAGCGCGGAACCTCTCTCGCACGCGCCCCCAAAGTGGAGGGAGGGGCGCGGGCGGAAAGTCGAAAAGGGCTGCGAGCGAGCGGTGTTGTCGGGACTCACCCGCCCTTTGACTTCTTCCTGCTTGCGCACCATCACCTCTCCCCGCCCACCCTCGTCCCCTCGCGTCTTCCTAGCTCCACCGACATCATGTCCACCACCGCTGCTGACACCGCCAGTGCCGTCGCTACCGCGAGCGCAAACGACACGGCGCTCGACACGGCGACGACGTCGGTGCTTGCACCCACCAGCAGCTCGGATGCGGTCGACGCCAACGCCGTGACCGAGGACGAGGCGGCGCTCTACGACCGCCAGATCCGGCTGTGGGGCCTCGAGGCGCAGACGCGCATGCGCACCTCGCACGTCCTCGTCTGGGGCTTCACCGGCGTCGCCACCGAGGTCATCAAGAACATTGTCCTCTCGGGCATCGGCACCCTCTCCATCCTCGATCCCGACACGGTGCGCGACGAGGATCTCAGCGCCGGCTTCTTTTGGAGGCAGGACGACGTTGGTGCCTCCGTGAGTCCGGGCAGGGCCGACGGCCGCCGGTGCATGTCGATGAGGCGCACGGCAGCAGGCTGACTGTAGGCTTATCCCTTGCTTCGTCACGATAGAGGGTTGCGGATGCACCCGTGGACAGGATCCGCGCGCTCAACCCGCTCGTCAAGGTTCAGGGGCTTACTGACCAGTCCATCCTCCAGGGCTCGCCGGAGGAGGTGGCGGCCAAGGTCAAGCAGCTCGGCGTCGACGTTGTCGTGGCGTGCAGGGGCACCAAGCTCGAGCTGGTGCGTACATCCCCGCTCCCCTTGCCCCTCCTCCCTTTCCGCGCCGTCTCACCGGATGCAGCTCACCACTCCATCCGATCTTGTCTCTTCTCCACCCTCTCACACCACCGCCACCGAAGACGACGCTCAACGACGCGCTGCGCCTCTCGTCGACCAAGTTCTACGCCACGTCGTCGTTCGGGTTCGGCGGGTACATCTTCTCCGACCTGGGAGCGTCGCACGACTTTATCACCGAGCGCGTGCTCCCGCCATCGTCGTCGTCGACGCAGCCGGAAAAGAAGCGGATCAAGAACCGCACGACGTTCGTGCCGCTCTCGCACAGCCTCGACATGACGTGGGCGGGTATCGAGGCGCGCAAGATCAAGAGGCTCAGACTGGCCCCCGGTCTGTGGACAGTCTGGGCATCGTGGGAGGCTCAGCAGCACGGTGGTGGTGGTGGTGGGGAGTTGAGGGAGGTGGCGGAAAGGATGATGGTGGAGAGGGGTGTGGATCCTTCGTTGGTCTTTGAGGCGCAGGGCGTCGACAGGCAGGCGTGGTTCCAGTGAGTTCTTTCGCCCGTCATCCTGTGCCGACGGCCGCGGTGCTTGGTTTGTGCTCTCACTCGTCTCGAGTCGACATCACTGACGAATGCCCGTTCACACTTGCATGCAGGACGTATGCGGCATCGACGTCGACGCGCGGCGAGTTCGCACCGACGTGCGCTGTCCTGGGCGGTCTACTGGCTCAGGACGTCCTCAACGCCCTCGGAGGCCGAGAGGAGCCCATTACCAACTGGCTCATCCTCGACGCCATGGGCAGCGGAAACGCCACACTCCACACTGTCGGATCCGCCGTTTCGACCCAGGCTGGCGTCGCTGTCTAGCCACCCTCCCAGCCAGCAGGGAACTAGGCAAGCAGGCACGCAAAGGATGCACGGACGAGGATGGTGGGGAGAATGGGGATTCCGTTCCGAACGTCTGAAAGAGCGGGGAGGGGAGGGATAGGGAGCGACTGGATCGTCCTCGAGCGGAGGAAGGGCAGAGACGGAAGCAGAGCGGGGCAAGGCAAGGCAAGGCAAGGCGAGGCAGCAAGCAAAGGGAACTGAAGGGATGGGGCGGCGCGCACGCGTATGGGGTATAAAGGCAGGGAGGGAGGAGAGAAAGAGCAAAGAGCAAGCGAGATCCAGTAGAACGAGACGAGGAGGATGGCCAGCAGCAGGCAGAGAGGCCGAATGGGCCCGCCGGCTCGCCATCCAGACCTGCGGGAGATGAAGATTAAAGAATGATCTGCAGCGAGGGCCACTTTGACGACGACGACGACGGCACGCCGCTCGCGCCTCAGACGAGGACGACGAGGGCAAAGGCGCTGGCGGCGGCGACGGCGGTGGTAGCCCAGCGCCGGGCCTGCTGCGAGGCGGGGGCGTCGTTCTGGGCGTTGCCGCCCTGGATGATGGCGTAGCTGGGCTTCTGGCCCTTTTTGGCCACGGCGTAGTTTGCGGCGTACTGTCCGGGAGCGCCGCAGTTGCTGCCGTAGTTTGCGTCGCAGGCCTGGGTGCACTTGTTCTTGTCAGCGGTGCCCAGGTTGGGCTTCTGGCAGGCGTCCTTGCACGCCGTGTTGCGGCCGCGGCAGTCTGCGAGCATGACGGGCCAGTTGTACTGCTGCAGCCTCGAGTCGCCCTTGTCGCAGCGGCAGGCGGCTCCCATGTACTTTGTCTCGCAGAAGTTGTCCTTGACCTTTGCGCCGTCCTGTACGCAGCCTGCCTTTGCGCAGAAGTCGACCTGCTGCCGGCAGATGGCCTCCTTTGTGAGCGAGGGGACGGATGCGAGGGCGAGGTTCCACTGGTAGTCGGGGAGGCCCGAGGTGTCGGCAAAGACCATCTGGTACGGGTTGGAGGCGAGCTGGGGCAGGGTGGCAAAGGTGGCGGTGGCGGTGGCCGAGGGAAGGGTGAAGTTGGAGGAGACGGTGTGGCCGTAGGGGGGCAGGGAGGTGGGGAGTGCGGAGACGTCGATGGTGGTGGTGCTCGAGGGGAGCGGGGGCTGGCTGTAGGTGAGGGTGCCCTGTGCGACGGCGGGCGAGGTGTTGATGCTGCTGCTGGTGAGCTGGCTGACGGTTGCGCCGCTGACGACCGAGACGCTGCCGCCGGTGGGGAGCGGGGTGGTGGCGACCGACGACTGGGCGGTCGGGGTGGGAGGGGCCTGTGTCGCGGCGGGTGCGCCGCCCGAGGTGAGGCCGCCGCCGAGGTCGAGGGAAGCGGGCGCGGAGGGCTGCGCCTTGCTGGCCTGATCTGCGAGCGAGATGGAGAGCTGGGCGTTTGCGGTGGTGGCGGCGGCTGCGCCCAGGAGGGCGACGAGGGCCAGGGCGCGCGTCATGGCTGTAGGGCAGGGGAGGAGAAGGAGAGTTGGCGGCGGAACGGAGAGACGGAAAGAAGACAAAGAGATGACAGGGTGCGCTGCGAAGGAAGATGTCTAAAGAGGAGCAGAGAGGGCGAGGTTGATGGAGATGGGGATGAGGATGGCGAAGGGGGAAGTGGTGACGGTGATGGCGACCAAAGGAGAAAGCGAGAGAGCGAGAGCGGGAGCGGGAGCGAGAGGATGGACGAGAGGAACAAACGATGGCCGCGATACGATCCATCAACGGCGGCGGCTCCAAGCGAGGCCACAGAGGCAGGCGAGGCCAGCCAGCCACTCTGTGTCTGGCTCCGCTCACTGCCCGCGGGTTCGAGTGTCTGCGGGGAAAAGCCCAAAAGCAGGCGGCGGGTCTGCCCTCTCAGCCCTCTCTCACGCGGCAGCCAGCGCAGGGCAGGGCGGGGCGGGGCAGGATAGCAGGCTAGAGGGCAGGCCAGCCAGGCCAGGCCAGGCCAGGGCAAGCCGAGGTCACAGAGGCCAGAGCGGAGCGCGGATCTTCAAGGTGCAGCTGCAAGCGGCATCGCATCGCATCGCAGCGCAGCGCAGGCAGACCGTCTTTGCCCGCCCGCCTCGTCTCGCCTGGCCGCCAGGCAGCTCTGCCTCGGTTGGGATTTTCCGCGAGTCGAGTCGAGTTGGCGGAGTCGGTTGGCTGGCCTCAAGCGAGCCAGGTGCCAGGCGCCAGGCCCAGCTCGACCTCGACCCTGCATCGCATCGGGCAGCGATTTTGCGATTTTTGAAAATTCCAGATCGGCTCCACTTTTTGCCCAAAACCCGTTGGCCCCGGCCAGCTTGCCAGCCAGCCAGACAGACAGCCAGCCAGGGTCCGACCTGGTTGCTCGCCTCGCTCTTGCTTCTGGCCACCACCGGGCTCATCACCTCGACCTGGCCTCGACTCGACTCACTCACCGCCGCTCTCCATCCTCCAATGATCCCTCCAATACCACGCTAACGCCGACGCCTCGCCGCATCGACACCGCCATGTCCAGCCGTGGCTTCGGTGCCACGCCCTCGGGCTCGGGCCTCCGCTCCCTCTCCCAGCCTGTCCCCATCAACCCTCCCTCCTCGTCGCCCTCGCTCGCCCGCTCCGCCCGCATTCCCCAGCCCATATTCTCCGCATCCCAACCGACACCTGCCACGCCAGCACGCGCAAACAGGCCGACATGCTTCGAGTGTGGCACTCACCGCATGCGCGTGCGCAGGGGACAGCTCATCTGCAAGTACGGCCACGTACAGCACAACTTCCGCATCGAACATGCTTTCGACGACGAGTTCGAAGAGAGCCAGCGCACAACAGCGAGGCGCAAAATGACCAGGGCAAAAAGGAAGCGCACATTCACATCGAGGAGGACCGGCGCTGTCTCGGAGCTCGAAGACGACGACGACGAAGAAGACGACGACGATGACGAGACGGCCCATGATCTGTCTTACCTCGACGCCTCCGACGGTCAGCACGGTCGTAAGCGCAGCCGCAGCCGCAGTCGCAGGAGCAGAAGCAGGGGCAGGTCTACCGCCTACCGAGCAGGCACGGGCACAGACGCAAAGATGCAGGGCAGGTTCAAGCGACTCCAGTGCCTCCAGCTCATCCTTCGCATGCAGCTCCACCAGCTCAACCACCACTTTGGCGGCAACCTGCCCCCCGAGACCGAGACCGTCGCACGAGAGCTGTGGGCTCTGCTCGTAGCATCCCTCCCCGTATCCGAGTTCCCGCCCGAACCCCTGGTGGCGGCCACCTTCGACTACCGCGCCACCCACGACATCGACGACGACCGCGACCACATCCGGACCGACCGCGGCACAGAGCCCATCTACGACGTCCGACACGACTTTGAGCTCGAAGACAGGCTCGCAGAGAGGGACCGTCGCAAGCGCATCGAGGCAAAGAGGCAGCAGCGCAAACGCAAGGGCGCCTTTGAGCCCGAGTCCGATGCCCAGACCAGCGGCACGGAGGGCTTCACCGACGACGACCACGCCCCGGGCGACCTACAGGACCCCGAGGACATGCTCGCCTCGCTCGATCCCGTCTTTGCAAAGGAGCGCCGCGACAAGCGACGGCGCGAGGGCAGCCAAGGCGCCCAAGGGGACGGCATGCGCTCCGACAGCGACCAGGACGACGACGACGACGACGAAGACGAATACGACGGCGACGGCGATGGCCATGGCCATGGCGAGGATGATGCAGGGCGTCAAGGATCGCAAACAAGCTCCCGCAGGTCCGGCTGGCGTCGGAAGCAGGGCAGGCGGAGGCTCGCGCCCATCTACAAGCCTCGCAGCGCCGAAACGACCGATGCCGAGAGCGAGTGGTCCGAGGGCTACCGCTCCGCCGGCGCGTCATCGACGGCATCGAGGCGGCAAGCACGGCAGACCGGGTCCCGCCGGCTCCATCCGGGCGGCAGCGGCATCGGAGAGAAGCGCAGGCTGATGAAGTTTGCGTCTCTGCCATCGACGCTCGCCATCCTCTACCTGACGCTGTCCAAGCTGCAGATCCCGATCCTGTGGGGCGACCTGACCGAGCTGGCCGCCTCGTACCGGCTCACGTTCCTGGAGGCGGTGCAGCGGCTGCCGCCGGACCTCGTCCTGCTGCTCAACGCCGACGACGTCCGGTACGGCAAGCTGGACGTGTCGAGCGTGCCGGCAATTTCCTCGCTCAACGTCCACGCGGCCAAGCTGGCGACGCTGCTGCACGTCAACTTTGGCATCACATTCGAGGAGCCTAGCGGCGCCGTCATGCTATGGCGCCTCGTCGACGGCATGGGCCTGCCTCCGACCATTTACTGCGCGGCCAAGCGCCTGCTCAGCTTCGTCGGCGTACAGCTGCACATCACTCCGGCGGCAGCGGCGGCGGGCGAAGAGAGCGGTGCTGCGGTCGTAGGTGAAGGGCCGGCCAAACGAGGTCGGCCATCGCGTCGGACTCGGTCGATGGAGCAGCGCTACCCCGTTCCGCGCGAGTTTATCATGATGGCCGTCGTCCTGGTGCTGGTCAAGATGCGGTACGGCATGGACGGACAGGGCCGGTACGAAGATGTCGTCTACCCTGCCGTCGAATTTGGCGCCTCCGAAGACGGGCAGCAGCAAGGCGACACCACCACGACCGGCGGGGAAGCTGGACCGAGCTTGGGCTTTGTGTCTGGGCTGCCGACGCTGAGGCGGTGGGTGACGGCGCTGCGGGAAACGTCCGAGGCCAAGCGGCACGATGCGGCATCGACGCACGAGGTGTACCGCGCCGTCGAGCCGCTCGACATGACGCCGGGCGAGGTGGACGGGTACCTTTCGTTTCTCGAGACCAACCTGATCCTGCCCAACCCTTTGGCGCTGTACAACTGGCGCCGGACGGCCGAGCGCGACGACCTGCTGTCGTTCGGACGGGCCATGGACCTTTCCTCGTCTTTGGCGGGACAATTTGACTCGGTGTCATCGTCGGCTTCATCTCCTCGACCTGGAGGGGGAGGCGGGTATGAAGCGAAGCGAAGTGAGATCCTCTCCCGTCTCTACTCTCTTCCCTCCCGCTCCCCTGCCTCGTCGATGCGGGAAGGGAGGGGGGAAGGGATGGAAGCGGGAACGCACTATCCGATCTACAGACTCACCACCGATCCAAGTGGGACGGTAGCCGTCGAATCGCACAGGATCTACATGGACATCCTCGACCATGCCAACGCCCTCGTCGGCATCTCACCCCCTCCCTCTTACATCCCCCCTCCTGCCGCACAACGAACCAGGTCGGCCCAGATGGTCGTCGACGAACGTACATGGGGTCTCCAATTCGCCGTCGAACTCGTTGAAGACGAGATCCTCAAACGATTAAAGCAGAGGAGGGACGAGGTTCAACGTGCAAACAGAGCCAGACGTGGGCATCAGGCGGTACAGGATCAAGTCGAAGTCGAAGTCGAGGAATGATGATGCGATTCCCGGAATTGGGTAGCCCAGCCTCGTGCACATCGGCATCTAGTTACGTCGCCATCTCCTTCCACCTGCCCCCTCCCCCTCCCCGTCATCGTCATCGTCTGCGGAATCACCCTCGGACTCGTTGGAGAGTACATGCTGCCTCTGCCCCCGCCCGGCATTCGCACCAGACCCAATCGGCCCTTGGTCGTCGTCATCGCTATCGTCGACGCCGTACAGGACGCCCCAGGGCGACTTGCGCGGTGCGTCGCCCCACTCCATTTCGCCGTGCGCACCCCGCGTGCGTTGACCGGGCCTGCGCCAGTCGTACCCCGGTCCCTCATCGGGCTCCCCCCCCGCTCTGTTGCCATCTCCACGATGGTGGTGTGCGGACGAGGAGGAGGGAGGGGCGTGCGGCGGTGGTGGGCGCGCGTCCTTGCTGCGTATCGACGCCGTCAGCCGCTCCAGCTCGGTCAGCGTATCGAGATTGACCAGGTACGTGTACCCGTCCGGCACCCTGAGCGGCCGGTCGGCCGTGGAGAATCAAGAGGAGGAGGAGGGCAACGTCAGCTCAGCTCCCGTCTGCCTCGGAGCTGGTTGCAAGAAGGGTGGCGAGGAGACACTCACGGCTCTCCGATGGGCACGGGCCAGAGCCAGGGGTCGTTGCCCATGACCTGCCGCCAGTTGCGCCGCAGCCCGACGTCGTAGACGTTGAGCCGATTGGCCTTTTTGAGCGCGCGCCGCTCTTCGCGCGTCAGGTGCTCGTCGCTCCTCCAGACGGGATCCGCTGACGTCGACGTCGATCCGCGGTCGGCCTCGGTGGGGGGCGGCGTGGCCCTCTTGGCTGCGCCGCCCGCCGCCGCCGCTCGCTGCGTCGGCGATGCGCCTGAGGCGGTCGTGGACCTTTTCGCGCCTCGGGTCGTGCCTGGCTCTGAGCCTGACCCTGCCGCTGCCCTCCATGGCCTCGAGGGTGGTGCGGTTCTTAAGGATGAGGTAGGCGTGGTAGCCGGCAAAGGGGGCGAGGGTGCAGCCAAAGATGAAGCCCATGAAGAGGAGGACGGCCCAGGTGATGGGGCTGCTCTCGTAGCCGTCGACCTCGTTTCCGACGTAGGCGACGAGGGCGCGGGCCGACTCCTGCGTGGCGTAGATGCAGAGGAGGGCGGTGTAGCAGAGGAAGAGGAAAAAAGGGCTTGTGGTTGCGCAGGCCGATGCAGCGGTTGGCGAGCCAGGGGCAGTGGTGGTCCATGCGCAAGACGCAGCGGCGGCACGATGAGCAGTGGTGGCAGCGGTCGGGCTTGGGTGCGTTGCACTTTGCGCACCAGCGCGACTCGCCCGACGACTTGACCCAGATGTCGGAGGCGGCGCGGATGTTGGTGGTGTCGGTATTGGAGGCGGCGGAGGAGGAGGAAGAAGGGAGGAGATCGTGATGGGATGAGGCGAGGCGGAGGTGGTCGGAGAGCTGTTGGCGGCCGGAGCGAGCGGGCAGCTGGGGCTGTCCGGGCAGGGGCGCCGAGAGGAGGGGAGCCGAGGCCGCGGCGTCGTCGTGGTCGTGGTCGTCTGCGGCTAGCAGGCCAGAGTGTTCGTCGTGGTCGTCGCCGTTGTCGTCGTCGTGGTCGTCGCCGCGGGTATCTCGGCCATGCTGCTGGCTAGCCGAGTGAGTCGGACGAGTGCCGGCGTGTGCTAGTTCCTGGGCCGATGAGGAAGCGGCGACGTGGTTGCTTGATGGCGATCCCGGGTGACGGAAGACGGCGACGAGGAAGCTCCAAGCTGCACCGCCTGCAAGGAGGGTGGATATGAGGAGCTGGAATAGGGCCTTTACGAGGCTGTGTGTGCGTAGGATCGTGTAACCGATTGCGAGCGAGAGGGTGAGTGTGATGTAGGCGTATACGAGGAGGGAGAGGACAAAGACGAGGGGGAGCCAGCGGAGGTGGTCGCAGAGGCGTCGGAAGAGGGGCGATGCGCGCGGGCTATTTGGATCGCAGGCCATGGCGGTGCGTGCGGGTGTGGGTTGCGGTAATGGCCCGCAGCCGCGCGGGTGGACGGGTGGCAGAGGAGGAGAGATGGCGGTGGTGGTGGTGGTGGTCGAGGTGGCAGCGCGGGCTGTGCCTGGCCCTGGACTGGGCTTGGCTGGCCTCAGCTGGGCGTGGTCGGGTCCCTCTCTGGCTGGCGTTTGCCAGTCGAGGCCGATGGGGCGGGCCCCGCGCTCTTGGCAGAAAATCCAAAGTGGAGACCAACACCTCAAGCAGCGCCCGGCAGCCTGGCTGGCGCTGCTCAGTCCAGACCCCTCTGGCCCTCGACTTCTTCTCGCCACCCACACCCACCACCCAGTCAGACCATCATCACCCTCCCTCCTGCTCTCCCTCCTGCTCAACAGCACAGGCCCTTGCTCCGGCCCCTGTCAACCTGCACACTCCCCACCCTTCACCTCCCCCCTTTGCCTCCAACCACTCTGTCAGCCCTGAACCCTATCAGCTGCTCGCCCTCTCCCGTCTGCCCGGGCCCACCGCGGCCTGCGACCCCGACCCCACCCCGCCATGGCATCGCTCGACAAGCTCGCCATCCGCGGCGTGCGCTCCTTTGACGACAAGTCCATCAACATCATCCAGTTCTTCCAGCCCCTCACCGTCATCGTCGGCTACAATGGCTCCGGAAAGACGACCATCATCGAGTGCCTCAAGTACGCCACCACCGGCGACCTGCCCCCAAACACAAAGGGCGGCGCATTCGTACACGACCCGCAGATGGCCGTCACAAACGAGGTAAAAGCACAGGTACGCCTCCGCTTCTACAACGCCAACCGCGTCCGCATGAACTGCGTCCGCAACCTCCAGGTCTCCAAGAAAAAGACGGGCGGCCTCACCATGAAGACCCTCGAGGGCCTCCTCCAGATCGCAGACGACGACGCAAAGAGCGGAAAGCGCGGCGTCATCTCCACAAAGTGCTCCGAGCTCGACGAAGAGATCCCCCGCCTCCTCGGCGTATCAAGGAGCATCCTCGAAAACGTCATCTTCTGCCACCAGGAGGACAGCAACTGGCCCCTCGCGGAACCGGCAAGCCTCAAGAAAAAGTTTGACGACATCTTCGAGGCCACCCGCTACACAAAGGCGCTCGACAACATCAAGTCGCTCCGCAAGGAGCGCACCGTCCAGCTCAAGGTCGACAACGCCGCCCTCGAGGGCCTCAAGACGGACAAGGACCGCGCAGACGCCATCAAGACCAAGCTCCACGCCCTCCAGTCGCAGCTGGCAGACAAGGAGGCGCGCCTCGACGACCTCAACGACGAGATCCGCATCAAGACGGTCCAGAACTCCAAGTTCTACGACGAGGCCACAAAGTTCCGCGAGATTGTCAGCCGCGCAGAGACCCTCGAGGAGCGCGAGCGCCTCCACAAGGAAAACATGGCCGCCCTCGAGGCCACCATGACGCTCATCGACGACTCGGACGCCGAGCTCCAGAAGCGCAAGGACAGCTTCCGCAACCACCTCGACACCAAGCGCTCCCGCGCAGACGGCTTCCGCAGGCGCATCGCAGAGAAGCGCGACGAGCTCGAGACGCTCGACGACCAGCACGGCCGCAAGCTCTCGGAAAAGGGCGGCCTCGAGGCCGAGCGCCGCGCCCACGAGCAGGCCATCCGCAGGCGAGAGGCGTCGATCAAGAAGATGAGCGGCGAGCTCGGCATCAAGGGGTTCGCCGCCGACGGCCTCAACGACGCCCAGATCCGCGAGTTCCACGAGCGGCTGCAGCAGGAGACGCGCCAGCTCGAGGCCGAGTACGCCAAGGTCAGGGCCGACAACTCCAGGCGCGACGACGAGCTCAGCACCGCCTGGCAGAACCTGCGCACCGAGATGCGGGCCAAGCAGAACGCGCGCGATCAGCTCGCCGAGAGCATCAAGCGGACCAAGGACAGGCTCAAGCGCTGCCAGGACGAGCTCGAGGCCGTCGACGTCACCGAGATCGACGTGGCGGCGGCCGAGCGCGAGCGCGACGACCTCTCGGCGCGCGCCGCGGCCAGCCAGAAGGAGTTTGAGGAGGCGCGCTTCGACGACAAGATCCGCAAAAAGAACCAGGAGATCCGCGAGAAGGACGACCTGCGCGAGGAGAGGACGTCAGAGATGAACATCCTCAACCGCCACGCCGAGGTGCGCGCCACGCTCGGCATGAAGACGCAGGAAATTGCCAACCGGCGCACCACGGCGCAGTCGCTCGTCGATCGCAACGCAGCCAGCTTCGCCAAGCGCGTCGGCGGCACGGCCAAGGGCGAGACGTTCGAGCGCGACGCCACCAAGGCGGTGGCGGCCAAGGAGCGCGAGCTGGCCGAGGCCGAGGCCGTCGACCAGGAGAAGAACAAGGCGCTGCAGCAGCTCGAGTCGACGCTGACCTTCTCGCGCAACCAGCTCAAGGAGAAGCGCGACACGGTGGCCGCTCTGGACCGCGAGATCAAGGCGATCCTCGAGCCGGACTTTGACTCGGCCGCCGAGGCGGTCAAGGTGGCGGCAGAGGAGATCGACGCGGCCAAGGACGACTTGTCCTCGGTGGACTCGCTCGACGCCTTCCTCAAGCGCGTCGTCCGCGAGGCCAAGACCAAGGGCCACTGCCTCGCCTGCAACCGATCCGTGTCGAGCGCCGAGTTTGCCGCCATCGAAAAGCACGTCACCTCGACGCTGGCTACGAGCGACACCCAGAAGAAGAAGGCGGCGCTCGAGGAGCACATCCGCGAGTGGACGCAGCGCAGCGCCGAGTGCCAGGTGGCGCTGACCAAGGAGACGCAGATGCAGGCGATCCAGAAGGGCGACATGGTCGCGCTCGAGAAGAAAGTGGCCGAGGCCGAGGAGGGCATCAAGGCCGCCAGCGCCGCCGCCGAGAGATCGACAGCCGCCGTCGACGCCGTCAAGGCCGAGCTGCGCGATCTGCAGGCGCTCAAGCGTGTCGGTGCCGACATCACCCGGCTGCTGTCCGAGGCCGAAGCCTTTGAGCGCGAGGTCGAGATGCTCCAGACCGACCTGGCCAGCACGGGCTCGATCCAGACGAGCGAGCAGCTGCAGGGGGAGATTGACAACCTGGCGGCGAGCATCAAGACGCTCAAACGCGAGCTCAACGCGCTGCAGCAGGACCGCGAGACGAAGCGCGGCGTCATCGCCTCGCTGGAGCGCGACCTCCACCGCGCCGAGATGCACGTCGTCAACAAGCGCCAGGCGTGCAGCAAGAAGGAGGCGCTCGACAAGCGGCACGAGGAGCTTGCGGCAGAGCTCGAGGAGCGGCAGAGGGGAATCCGCAAGCTCGACGACGAGGTCGAGGCGGCGGGTGCGCCGATCCGCCGGGCCAAGGACGAGCTCGAGCAGTTCAAGGCCGAGAGCTCGGCCGCCGAGGGCAGGGCCAAGGCGCAGATTGAGCGGCTGCAGAGCGCCCACCACCAGCTGACGGAGCTCGACACGGCGGTGCAGGCGTACACGGCGCAGCGAGGCCCGCAGAGGCTCAAGGACTGCGAGGAGACCATCGCCGACCTGGCGCTCCAGATGCAGGGGATCCAGCGCGAGATCAAGGAGATCGAGGCGCAGGTGGCCGAGCTGGAAAAGGAGATGAACCAGTCCAAGGCGACGGAGCGCAACATCCTCGACAACCTGCGCTATCGCCAGCTGCAGAAGGACATTGTCGCCATCGAGGCCGAGATTGACTCGCTCGACCTCGAGCAGGCGCAGCGCAGCCGCAAGCACTTTGCCGACAAGTACAACGAGGCCAAGGAGGAGGAGAACCGGATGAACGGCGAGGCGTCGCACCTGTCGGGCGAGATTGCGTCGCTGCGGGCCCAGATCCAGGGGCGCGAGGTCGAGCTGCGCGACGACTACCGCGGCGTGCACGCAAAGTACAAGCAGAAGCTCATCGAGGTCAAGACGTCGGACCTGGCCAACAGCGATCTGGAAAAGTACGCAAAGGCGCTCGAGAGCGCCATTATGCGGTACCACTCGATCAAGATGGAGGAGATCAACGAGATCCTGCGGTACCTGTGGCAGAAGACGTACCAGGGTACCGACATTGATACGATTCTGATCAAGGCCGACAACGAGGGGGTGCGGGGCAACCGGTCGTACAACTACCGCGTGTGCATGGTCAAGGACACGGTCGAGATGGACATGCGCGGGCGGTGCAGCGCCGGGCAAAAGGTGCTGGCGTCGATCATTATCCGGCTGGCGCTGGCCGACTCGTTTGGCAGCAACTGCGGCATCCTTGCTCTCGACGAGCCCACCACCAACCTGGACCGCGAGAATATCGAGGCGCTCGCGCGCAGTCTGGCCGATCTCATCAAGGAGCGACAGGGCCACGGACAGCTGCAGCTCGTCGTCATCACCCACGACGAGGACTTTCTCACCCTCCTTGGCCAGAGCGACGTCCTCGAGTACTACTGGCGCGTCAGCCGCGACATTAACCAGGTGAGTCCCCGGATGCCGGGCGGGCGGGCGAGCGGGCGGGCGGGCGGTCCAGCCATCGTGGTTGCGACTGTTGCTGAATCCGTCCTCTGACCCTGGCTCCTCTGCATCCCCTCGTCACCCTCCTGCACGACCTTTCGCGCCGCTCTGTGACGACAGAAATCCATCATCGAAAAGGAGCGCATCCGCAGCAGCTGAGGCGGGCGCGCCGCCAGCGCTCGAGGCGGGGCCCACAAACGCCCAACGAAACGCAGCACAAACACAAGCACAAGCACAGGATGGCGACCCGACTCGGGCGCCACAAACACGGCAGCGACAGCGGCATCCCACCCACGCATCGATACCAGCCGTCAACGCCACACGGCGACCGCGCGCACGCACCGGCGCCGCAGGGCGACGGCCGCACATATGTACTAGTACGACGATCCGCAGTGGCCGACATCAGCAGCAACAGCATTGGCAGCGAGCAAGCTCGACGACCTTCCTTCGCCTCGCCTCGCCTCGCCTCGCCTCGCCTCCCATTCCATCACGTCCGTCAGCGATGCGCGGTTTACGACTTGGGTGCGAAAAAGGCTCGGATATCCTTTGACCCGGCCCCGGCCGCTTTGCCCGTGCCACGCTGATCTGGGCTCTGACCCTGTTTCGGCGACTTTGGCGGATTACGCCTCCTCGTCGGACTGCGCTGCACCGACGTCGTCGTCGTCGTCGTCGACGACGAAGACGAGGACGAGGACGGAGGAAGCGGAGGGCGAGGGGGATGGGGGGCAGCGGCAGAATTCCGCCGTTGCCGCTCGATGAGTTGGTCTAGGGGGCCCGGTTCGTTGGGTTTGCGGGGCGGCGAAAGGATGCGCGTGGTGAACTTGGTGCGTTTGCGCGGGGTCGCGCTGGCCGAGGTGGTGCCCTCGCGGCTGTAGCCCCCCAATGGACGCGGTGGAGAGGCGGGTGGGTCGAAGGGGTCCGGTGAGAATCGGCTCGATCCCCCGCCTTCGCCCTCGCAGCTCCCTTCTTCTTTCTTGATCGTCGCATCGTGGTCGCAGGCGTCTTGATCGGGTGTCGTCGCTGCTGCTGCTGCCGCTGCTGATGCTTCCGGCGGTGGTAGTGGTGTCGGCGACGGTGAGGATGCCTCGGCCCCGACCGAGTCGGAAGAGGATCGACGTCGACGTTTCCCAGTCGTCTCGGGCCGCGGCACTGCGAAGCCATCTCCGACCTCTTTAGCTTCGATCTCGTCTTCCCTCGTCGCATCGCCCCCTCCGATGCCGCGGTCGATTGCGGATGGCTGCGACGAGGTCGACGCGGCGCCCTTGGCGTCGTCCTCTTGCCACTGCCGCTGCAGCTCCTCGGCCAACTCGCGATCCCGAATCTCCTGCTCGGCCTGCGCCGCTGCATCCGCCATCTGCGCGTCCTCCTCGACCTCCTGCGTCACCTCTACAGCGGCGCGCTCGAAAGACGACGTAGATGCTTCATCTCTGTCGTCCTTCTCTTCCTTCTTGACGGCGTCGTCAGGAGCACGGTCGTCGTGTCCGCTCTTTGCTGGCCCCTGCTTGGCCTGCTGCTGCTTGCTGAAGAACGCCTTGAGCCCGTCGCGTCTCGACTCGATGGGCAGGATGAATCCGGGGTCGTCGTTGCCCACCCTGCCGACCTCGCGGGGCACCTTGTAGCACTCGAGGGGCTTCTTGAGCGGTCGGAGAAGCCGGGCCACTTCGGGCGTCCAGGTATCCTCCTTGTCGCCCTGTCCGAGGCCGAGCCAGGTGGCGATGCTGTGGGCGTCGGGCAGGATGACGGGCATGCGGTCGTGGAGGAAGTCGAGCTGGTCATTGACGCTGGTCGTGATGATGGTGAAGGTATAGAGCGGTGGGCGATCCTCGTGGCCCTGGAAGACGACCTTGTCCCACAGCCCGGCAAGGGGCATGAGTTTGCGCTCGACGCCGTCCTTGCCGGTGCGCCCGTGGCCCGGGTCGGCCATGCCGACAAAGTGCGGGATCCTCTCGACCTTTTCCTCGTGCCCAGCCGCGGCCGCTGTGTCTCGGCCGGCGAGGGGTTTCTTCTGCCACTCGTAGAAGCCCTGGCAGAAGACGACGCAGCGCTGTGCGGGCAGGAGCGGATGCCACATGCTCGCGCCCTGTGACGACGAGAGGATGGTGTCGTCGCGTGCGTTGATCGTCTTGATGGCGCCGAAGGATGATGGGGGCGGGTGGCGGTTGTGGGAGCGGATGAGGCCCCACTTCATGGGCTGAAGGAGCAGGCGCTCGGCCTTGTCGGCGCTGTCGGCGGTGGTGCGCTCCGAGGCGAGCTGGCGCCGGATGACGGGAGCGCGTGTCTGGGGTGCGACGTTGTAGGATGGCCGGTAGTCGTCAATGTCCGGGGTAGGCTCGGGTGGATGCGAGGGAGGCAGCTGCTCGCGCACCGAGCGGGCGTACTCGGGCAGGGGCTGTGCGTTTGCGAATCGGCCGCACATGATGTCGTTGGCGGGTGGTGGTGCAGAGGCGTCGGAGGATCGGGGGCTGGAAGATGAGGGGTGCGGGTGGAGGTGCAGGCCTGAGTGTAGTACCAGAGAGGGGAGCGATGGATGGCACGCTGCGCCTCGACCCAACCGTGACGGCGGCGATGGTAGTGGTGGTGGTGGTGGTGGTCGAGAGGCAAGCAAGCAAGAACGAATGTGGGGGCCGTCAGGGTCCACGGTTGCGTGGCCCCGTTTGCCCCGCACTTTTTTTCCGAGTGGAGGCTGAGCTGGCGCGCAGCCCCCGAGCGCGCCACGCCGCCCGCTGCGCCAACACCGCCGACAGCCTCTGCTGATCCCCAGGCGCCGCCCGGTCGCACCTTTCGTCTAGCCATCCGCGAGCCCATATGTACATAATCACGTCTCGCTCGCCTCAAGCTCCGAGCCTCCGCCTCGATGACACCGACTCGGACTAGTTCCGCACCACACTACTGTACTATCAGGCACAAGTCCAATGGCGCGCCGGTACATTCGCGCCCCGAGTCGGGCCCAAGGCGTCCCTCTGCACTACAACATGCCAGCCCCGTGGTGCCCAAAGATGCTGTTCAGGTCTCTATGCCAGTCCTGCTGATGGCTTCAAGTCTACCTCTTGCGCTGTCGCAGAAAGGGCGGTGCGAGGTGTGACTCTCGTGACAGCTCAGGCTCGGGTGAAGGCTCCGATGGTTTGGAGTTCCAGACTATGACTGCCCGCCACCGGAGTCGCGACTGCGGCCATTCGAGGGCATTCCATGAAACGCACAAGGCCTGCATCAGTGCAGTTCAAGTCACATGCGCCCACCACCGGCAACTTTGCACTCACCGTATACGGCCCCGTCACCTTTGACCTGGCTGAGAAGGGAAAGCACCGCGTCAAAGTCGACCTGGTTGCAGTCGAGATCGTACAGGCTGTAGCACTTGCCCTGATCGTTCATGAACGTGTTCGAGCAGTTGACCAGTTGGCCCTTGCCCGTGCCGCAGCGGCTCTGGGGCACAAGGCTGTACTGCGAATGACCTCCGTTGCGCACCAGCTGCACCGGGACGTAATGGTTGTAGAGGGACCAGTCGGAGACGGGCGCGCAGATCGAGATCCAGCCGTTTTGCAGGATCACTGTCACGGCCCCGAAACCTAGATTGTCGCTTCTTGCCCTGGCACTGTTCTTGGGTTTATTTCCAAGGGTAACCTGCCCCGACTCGACGAGGCCGACGCAAGCTAGCACGATGGGGAGGAGAGCAAGGTAGGGGATCTTCATCGTGGGCAAAAGTGATTGATGGGATTGGTTGAGGGAAAACGCAAAAGCGGCTGCGACGGGGATGGTCTTTATACACTTTTGCAGCCCGACACAAGGCTCAAGGAGCTTCGACCAGGCCACGCCCTCACCCCACCGGCCCGTTCGATCCGGCCTCATCCGCCCAAGGTTTCGCCCCCACCGGCCGTTAGCAAGGCTGCAGCCGGCCTCGGGGTGGTAGGTGGGTAGCCCGAGATGAGGAGTAGTATGTAGTGATGCTGACGCGTAGCAACGGCCCCACATTGACGGAGAGCAGGACCCTCGGCCTGAATTGTCATCCTGAGAGACTGCATTGGTCACACCGCACTCGGACAAGGCTCAGAGACAAAGGCTCGCGGATGAAGTCGCTTCGTCATTACAGGATCGGGTTCCCCCGATCCCTCCGCCGAACAAAAATGGAGCCCAGAGTACTCTATGGCTGGAATCGACTCGAGACTACGGACGGGCCGACTGTCTGCGTCAATACTGCTAGTGGAAAGAGCCAATCGGGTAGAATCTGAACTGCCCATCAACGTAAGCTGAGGTTTCGGAGGGATCCGGCTTCGTGCTGCGTCAGAGGAGCTTGGATCTCAAGCAGATGAGGGCGTACGGCCGCCACACTCACCTTTGACAAAGGCGCCAATGTCGCTGGCGAGGGAGAGTGCATCCAGGACCGTCTGAAACATTCTCTTGTCCGCATCGCCCTCCAGGGTGCTGTAGCAGACGCTCTTGGAGATGGCGCCGTCCGTGATCTTTCCCATGCAGTCTTTGCAGACATCCACCGAAGACAGGGCATAATGGGAGGGCGGCGGAGTGTTGTAGCGGTCCAGCCTTAATTCGGTTTGTTGGTTTTCATCGACAAAGGACCACGAGGAGACGCCCAGACAGATCTGGATGTACCCGAGGGCCAGCTTGACCGTCATGGTGCCCACCTGGTCATTGATCTTCCAAGAAGCGCTGGCAGTGTCCTTGGGCGGGTGGAACACTTGGCCCAAAGTCACGGGAGCGGGCTTGCTGTAGACGACGCTGGCGAGCGCGATGGGAAGGAGGGCGAGGATGGAGAGCTTCATCGTCGATGTCAGCAGGAGTCAGGATGGAGTCGATTTGTCTGGCTATCAGGAGGACTTGACAGAGAGACGAACGGAGAGGGAAGCGGCAGGGGCTGTCTAATTTGTACTTTTTGGTCAGACCCCGGAGGGCCTCGTCGACCGGACTCACTCCCGACTCTGCGAACCCACCCATACCACTCCACTTGCCGACAAACCATCCGCTAATTTGGATCCGCTCCCACATCGTCTCGCCTGGCCTGACCCACCTCGTTGCTGACCGCCGGGAAAGCATTCCGAGTCGTCCGGCCCGTCACGGCAACCACGTCGGGCGACCGCCGTCGTCAGCGACGTCCGCTTTGGCCGTGTCGATGCGCTCGGAGCCAGAGCCTGTTGCCATCTGAGCCTTCCTTGCAGCGATTGCTGTAGTGAAGGCCGCTTCGTCCCAAGGTCAAGCAGCTGACGCCGGCCCGATCTTTGGAAGCCCATCACCTGGTCGCTTGCCTTTGTCCGCCCACCGGCTATTGCAGCGGTATGTCTAGCTCATCAGATGGCCAGTCTCGCACCGAGGAAAGCACGATCAGAAGGACGGTCTCGGACCGAAGCCAGCCTTGTAGAACGAGGTTCGCACGGACACGTCAGGTGATAGCTAGCTCGGTCATACGAAGGGGGCGACGGCGTCGAGACCCGCATAGACATGAGGCTTTCCACGCTCCGAGTACGACCAGCGTCTGAAAAACGGGGGCTCGTCAGCAGCGGTGACTGCACTCGCGCACTGTGCACACGATCAAGGCGACAGCACGGGCGAGCAGAGCGGCGTGAAAGACTCTCTGCCCCTGACTCCGACTGCGTTTCCCGTCGCGAACGGCAGGGAGGAAGACCGAGCAAAGTGCACGCTCAAACGAGGTCGCCGAGGCGTCAGCGTCTTGGAAGGTCGCGACTAGACAGCTTGGGGCCCCGCACCACAGACTCACTGCCGACCTGGAAATGGAGAGTCGAGTCGGCGCCGTCTTTGAAGGCCTGGACGAGGGTCCTGAACCTGAGGGCTTCGTTTCCGACCTGGTTAATTTGCAAGACGTAGCAGCTGCCCCTGTCTGTCCTGGTACCCCTCACGGGGCCTGCGCAGCCCGTCTTGCACTCGTTGGGATACAGAGCCCAGTGGAAGTGCTCGGGCTTTCCCCAGTCAAACTTCCAGACGTACTCGGTCCTCCTGTCGGGCATGGTGACACGCCAGTGCTGCGGGGTGTCGAGGCAGACGAGGTACGTGGGGAAGTTCCTGTTCTTGCTGGTAAATCTGAGCATCGAGAGCTTGTGGCCGTCTTGCATGGTGCAGCTTGCCGTTTGACCTTCGGCCGGTACGTCGTACGCTGGATCGGGGGCCGTGGCGGACGAGAGACCCACGATGGTCGCGCCCAGCAGAATGCAGGCAACGCGGAGCTTCATCGTGGTGAGGGGATCGAGGTGAGGGGTGACGGGAAGGGGGATAGGATGCTGATGCGGATGGTACGCTATAGAGAAATCAAGCTCTTATTTGTACGAGCGCGAGCGTGCTCCGCTGTCGATGCAACCCACTCATGATTTCCCCTTCCCGAGTGGCGGGCAAGAGAAAGGCAACTGACAGCCCCTGAGGTGCCTTCAGCCGGTGGGCGGCCTTGGCAACATCGTATTGCAACCCATTGTCGTGCCTGTTGCGCCGGCGCACGTCTCTCAACCGGTCCCGTTGTTCCCCGATTCACCGTTACACCGTTACTCTACAAGCTGCATGGGGAGACGGCACAAGCAGGAGATGCGTGGGCGAGACCCGGCCAAGCGGGTATGATCCCACATGCCGACGCGGCGCCAACATCGTCACGGGAACATCGACTCACTTGTTCCTGGCCGAGCACGGCGAACTCAGTCCCAGTACCACGTATGTTCGTGTCCGTACCGTCTGGAGAGACATGCGCTTCGCCGCGGCTGAGGCAGCGGTCTGCCGTTCGACCGTGTGCGCCTGTTCAGTTCGGTTTCTCGCGTCTCTTTTTGGCTTCAGTGGCGTCGAAGAAGGTCAGGCCTGGCGAAATAAAGCCCTGCGGGGAGATGGATCTCATAACGAGCAAGAATGACCGTACCGGATCGTACACAGGGAGGGGGTGGTCTATGCTGTAAGAAGATGCGAGCACCAGAAGGCGCAAGGCACTGCCCATTGCTAGAAGGGTTCTCTGATCGAGGGGGAGGGGAAAGAGAGCGCGACACGGAGTGACGCCGTTCTTGACACGCCGGGAGAGGGCGGGCCGACGAGGTAGAGCGGGCCGGTCTTAGGGCCTGACGACTTCGAGGTGGCAGACGGGGTAGAAGAACTCCTTGCCCTGGAGGGTGACTGTGATGGCACGAGGGTGTGAACGAACACGAGATGGGACGCCAGCAGAGGACGACGGATGCCGAGGGTCAGCGAGGAATCTGGGTGAGCAGCTGGCTGGACCGACTGGGGACGACCCTCGTCGAACCCTCGTCAGACCAGCGACGCCTCGCAGATCGGATCGACTCACCGCCCAGCTCAACACCGATCATGGCGGCGTTGTTGATGTACGTGACGAGCCTGCTAAAGTCGCTCTTGACGTGCGAGCCAGGCCTGACGGTGAATCCGTAGCACCTGTTCTCGTCGTCGTCGATGCGGACCTCCATGCAGGCCTCGGGCTTGTTGCAGAAGTCGGCGTTACCGAAGCCGAAGCCCTGGTGCTCCTTGTACTGGTACATGACGGCGACGTCCTTCTTGCTGCCTTTGTAGGCGAAGCGCCACGTTCCCTGGGGCAGGCAGATGGAGTAGTCCTCGCTGCCGTCGTTCTGCTTGTAATTCCTGACCGCCATCTCGCCGACGCCCGAGATGGTGCAGTGGGCGTACGATCTGTCGACCTTGTTCGATCCGTAGCTGGCGTCCTGGATCGGGGTGGCGGCGGCGCCGATGGCGATGCCAGAGGTCAGCGCGGCGAGGAGAGCGAAGGTGGTGGAGAGCTTCATGGTGAGGTGGCGAGGAATAGCAGGGCAGGGCAGGGCAGGGCAGGAAAGGGCGGGATCGGTAGAGAAGAGGGTGGAATAGAGGGATGGAGAGGAGATGAGGGAAGAGAGAAGCAGAGGCGAATTCCGGGCAGCTTAAGTACCTTTCGCCTCTGAGGGCGAGGCCCAACGACGTGCGACGACCCCGCTGCCCTTAGGGTTCCGTCCCGCCGAGAACAGCACGCCGTGACTGAGAGATACAGGAGTAGCAGAAGACGGGACTCCGGCGCCTTCATCGCCTTGGCCAGCAGCACGACGTGACAGCCTCGACCCACACACACCCGTAAGGCCATGCAGGAGCCACCATCACTAGTACGTACTCCTAGTGTTTGGCCCCCACCTCTTCGGAAGTGGGGCCGGGTCTGCGGCGCAGGGATGAGTAGTAGTCGATCGGATTGAGCCATGGCCGTTTTCACGCTGAGACGATGCACGCTCGCGAACAAGGTGTGCTTACGGGCGGCGCAGGAGGTAGGTAGGTCGGTACGAGCGGTGAACGGCCATCCCCCAAGCTACCGAGCGAACAGATGAAGCAGCCCACTGCACCGCCTTCCAACAGAAGAACTAGGCAGGCACCAGCGCCACGCAACTACAAATGTATGACTCTCGCCCGATGACTTAGGTTGCACTCGGAGAAATGACGGTCCGGGCCGCGAAAGTGGGCTGGCCTTCAGCCGCGGCCGAACCAGCCTCCGAGCCAGCCCTTCTTCTTGCTCGCTGCCTCGGCGGCCAGTCGGGCCTCTTCCTCCTCGGCCAGCGCGTTGCCGGGGTCGTAGGCAACCGAGACATCGCCGGCCTCCTCTGCCTCTGCCTCGTCCTCGACCTCGTCTTCGTACGTCTCCTCCATCG